ATATTTCCTATCAAAAGATAAAGGAACAGACAAATCAAAATGTTTTATATTTTTCTATTACATACCACATCTCTGAATATCTCTTCACAAAGTATCATTATCTTTCTAAGCAGTCATAAGTTACAAAAACAAGTTTTTCATTTATATAGAAGCAGTGTTTTAAGAGAGGAATTAACCTCTGTTATTGGTTATTATATTATTATTATACTATGTTATTATAGTCAATAAAATAAATATTAAAATCCCTAAAATCCTATTACTTGAGACCTTTAATTTCTAGATGAGACTTAGGTATTTCTCTATGTTTCAGGTGATTTTTATTAGTTGAGTTAAAAAGCAAGAGATAGTAAAAAGACTCTAGTAATAGAAATACTGATAGGCATATAAATGTTTCCAAATATACCAACAGATCAGGTAATAATGGAAAGACAAAAGTTTAATAATTCTTGCCACTTATGGGACATGGCATTTCTGGGAAAGAACCAAAATAATGAAAAAAAAAATGCAATTGATACATGAGGCATTGTTTTAGGTACTTGGGTTACCTCAGTGAATATGAAGTCATGAAGTCCTTCCCCTAAGGAACATACATGTTCACGAGGAAGCAGCCAGTGACAAATGAAAAAAAAAACAAAGTCAAGTAATGACAAGTGCTAGAAGGAAAAGAAAAGGGATTAAAAAATGATTGATAGGGGCACAGCACCAGTTTAGAGTCTTGATGTGACATGTGAGCAGACTTAACTTGAATTATTTAAGTGAGGGAACAAGTTTTGTACAAATCAGGGAGGGATAAAGGCTTTCTTGACTGAATGACCAACAATGCAAAGTCCCAGAAGTATTCTTTGGGGTTTTCTAAACAATAGGAGTAATGTGAGACAGAAAGAATAGAAATAGCTAGGGGTAAAGTGCCACATATTATAAAGTTATGATTGCCACGCCCATTCATTTATCAAAAATTATGGAAGATTGGCAGTTGTTTTGTTATTGTTTTTGTTGTTGTTGTTTTTTGATGTTACTGGTGGAGAAGGGCTGAGTCTGGTTTTACATATTTTAAGATTAGATACCTATTAGATATCTAAGTGGAGATGAGTTCAGGGGAGTAGTTGAAGCTGAAGATATTCAGAACAGAAATGGAAAGAAAAGGAAAAACAGTAAAACTGGTGAGACAGAGGACAGAAATTTAAAAAAAAATTATAATAGTAATACCACAGGTTTCCAGAAAGTAGCAAGAACTGCTTGAGGCAAGACCTGATCTAAAAAAAAAAAAATAAAACCACACCTAAACTCAGCATAGTGAAATAGAAGAACACCAGAGACAAAGCAAGTTTTGAAAGGTAAAAAGAGGAAAAAAACAATGTGTCAGGTCAATTCCACAGCTCATCGACAGACTGGAAACCTAACAGTAGTCTAAAATAATAAAACTACAATTCAATCCACATTTCTGGCAGATAATATAGATCACCAATGCAATCAATATTTTAGCTCATTTAAGAGAAGCATTATGAACTCAGGTTTTGTTTGGAGACAATTTATACCATTTCAATTTAATATTTAGATCAAGACTCAAATGCAGATTGGGACATAGAATTAAAAGCATCTTATTCATTTGGGAATTTGAACTACCAGTCTTGTTTCAAAATAAAGGTGGGTTAAGTTTGGTGGTTTTTTGTTTTATTTTGATTAAAGGACAAGGTGACTAATGGCCTTTTAGGATAGAAAATATGGCACATGAAGTCCCACTGAAGAATTTATATAGATATTTGGAAAAAACCTGGAAGTATATTTTAATCCTACTTTACCAAATAATCTTATCTTTGATTCTTTAATGTAGTTAGTATCTCCTATCCTTAGGTCTTTCTTTATAAAGAATCTAAAGATATCCTATAATAAAATCAATCTATTTGGTTCTTTAAAAAAGAAGAAAAAGTTAGCATAAAGCATCTATCAAATCAATTACTTTAGCCATTGCCAGGAGAAAATATAATTTCAATTGTTTTGTTTTAAACTTTTAACAAGAAGTTTTTTTGACATTATTTTGCCTCAGGATATTTTTGTTGTACTGTGCCTAGTTGCCTGTCCTTAAACATGTTCATCACAAATCTTGCATCAAGTGCTACAATATATGTAATAGATTTCTGTATTTTTAAATTGAGTCTTGAACTTCAGTAATGGGGTCTGATAGTTGTTTATATTAATACCCTTAAATATCAACTTAGAAACATTTAAAATATTTTTTGCATTACTTGCTAAGTAACAAACTACTTAAAATTTTAACAAGCCACATTTAGGAGTTCGTATTACAATTTCAAATGAAGCTGGGTAAGTCCAAAAGAATCCCATATTTAAAAATTAGCTGCTTTTCCCTGCCTACCCTTACTCCCAAATCACTGTACTTCTTGCAAAACAATTACAACTATAAAACTCTATTATTATTTAGTCAGAAAGAGTAATGAAGATAGGAATTATGCTAATTACCCCAGTGCGTATTCTTTAAATCCCACAGAAATGAAATCAGTGTCAATCAGTGTATCTATACAATCCTTTCATTATTTAACTAGAAAAATGGATTACAGAAATTATCATATATGTAACCTACCATATTTCATGCAACTATAAATGTGTTTTATTAAGCCACTTATTCTGAAATTAATGAATCATTCACACTCGTTTGACAGCTTTCCAGTCTAAAATTATTTTCTAAAATATCCTGAACAAAGAATATTTTCTTTATAAGCAAAGAGGCCATTGCTTTTAATAAGAATCATTTATTGTATATTATTAAAGTGGAGGTTAACTGGTACAGTACTATGCATAATCTCTCACCCTTGAAAATTTAAACACAAATGAATAAAAATAGCAAAGCAGAATGAGCATGTAAAAGACAAAATTTAAGCATATTTTATAGAGAATGTTCCCTGTTATATCTATGCACTAATGTTCTTCTCCATTGTGTCTTAATAAGTTTATGGCTTATTCCTCTTCTACAGGATTGATGATTTCTTACAAATAATGAACATATTTTCCATCAATTAATGTTACAAACAGTTTTAGATTTTTCATTCAACTCAACTAATTAAGTGACTGAAATATTCAACTAGATATGTCATTAAGAAATTAAAGCCATTCCATTGCCTCAAAATATGTTAATATTGTTCTTCTATGAAATCTGTACAATAGGATATAACACAAATATCCCAGCTACAAAATGAATTAAAAATGCCAACCCTGATCTGTGTACTGTGTTAATATTACAATTTCATTAAGTATTGTATTTCCTTGTTAAATGATATTTTATGGAATAATCATTTATACTAAATATGGAAAAAAGTGGAAAAGCTTAAAAAGTGAACTGGCACTAAACTGTTTTATCACTTTTATATTTAATTATAAATTAATGTTTAAAAATTGAGTTATTTTTGCTATGTTATCTGATATGCCAGGAAAAAATAGATTATTATTCTTCAGGGTAACTAAAAGAGGTTATCACTACTCCCAAAAAGCGGGGGCGGGGAAGCTTTGTTTTGTACACATAAAATCTTAAACAGATAAAAAAAAAATGTCTAAAAAAATACACCCATCTATGGATAAATTTCTGTAGACTGTTCCCACAGTTAATCAACAGGGACACATTTAAGAATATTATAAACATATATCAACATACTTATATTTGTCGAAGTTAAGATTCAAATTCGCTACAGCATAGCACACATCCAAGAATGTATGCCACATTGATTCAAAAATTCCCACTGAATATAACAAAATAAAAATCTGTGAATAAATATAAGGCATTCTAAAATAAAATCTGCAGGAAACCAACAAGAGTCTAACAAAGATTTCTATGATCTCAATTTTACTTCATAGATTGTTCATACAGTCTTCAAAATAGGTTTAGTTGTAGTGCCACACATTGACAATAGTTAACTGCTTACCAAAATACCTTTTTCCTGGTAGCTAAACATTATCACTTAAAAAAAAAAAAAAAAAAGTTAAGTGCTTGAGGGAATAAGAATGCAGCAGAAAATTACAGGAGCCCACATATCCTTTTTCTTAAATTTAATTTGTCATATATAAGGTTTTTATATACAATCAGTGTGCATTGTAACAGTTTATATTAAAAGTCAATCAAGTTTATCTAAAATGTTACCTGGCTGCATAGCACATTTGACATTATTGCCCACATGAAAAGGGAAAACAAATGGATTTACAATAACTTTTGGCCATTTTGGATTCTGAAAAGTGTTTATACACCTACCCTTTTAAACCAAATGCATCTGAAAAAAATGTTTCCAGAGCATGCAGTTTAGATTTTACATATTATCTCACCATTTTGTTACTACAAACACAATATTTACTAAAAAAGAAAAAAAAAAGAAATAACATGTATCTAATAAAATAGTCAATATAAAAAGAGGACTATGGAATTAAGTGGCCCCTTTCCCCATTTTTTACATTCTAAACAATGATTCCATCAGACAAATCATTAAAAAGTGTTATTACACTGATATTTTTAAATGATAAGAAGGCCTGAGTTGGTAGGGAAAGGAACAGTCAAAAAAAGCCTGAGAAGGGAAAGGAAGTAAGGAAAGCTCATTTAATCCATTTACAATAATTTACAGCCATTTGTGTGTATGTGTGTGTGTAAAAAGGCATAATAATAGATCACAAACAGGAAATTCCTGGCTATTTTACAGATATAAGTACAGAATTTAAATATTCAAGCTTGTGATGAAAAGCGGCAAGGTGGTCGCAGTGTACAATGTAAACAAGTAGCTTTGGAAAGTGAACAAAGTCCTTGAGTGTTTTTTCTTTATTAAGAAAAGAACTCTCTTTCATTCCTTCCTGAAACATGATCACAGGTCAGAGTAAAGTTCATATACAAACATAATTTAAATGGAGGTCAGTCTAAAATCACTGACTTAAAAACAGTTTTATCCAGCCTATATGGAAGGGCAGTGTTGAGGTCCCTGTAATAGTAAACATTTTCCATTTCTTTAAAAAAGAAAAAAAAAAAGTACTACAGTATTTGTAGTACAGTGCAGCATAATCCTTAAATATAAAAATATTTTCTCTTCTGTTGGGATAATAGACCTTGCATCCTGGAAAGAAGTAACAATACTGCTACTGATAGAAGATCTGTTTATATCTTTCAAGTCATGTAAGGCAATTATTGTGTTGGTTTATGATATATGGCTAAAAGAAAAGTCCGGAAAGACAAAGTATCAGTTTTTGTTATGTTTTCCGACTACTCCAGGTATGCTCGGGTGTACTTTTGTGTTCAACTGAGTGTTCAAATGGAGATCTGGAGCCATAAGGAGATCTCTGATCTAAAGGTGATCTGGGGCCACTACTGGAAGCTCTGTGGTCCATTTGCCAATCTGAATGATACCTATAATCCCTGGAAGATTTATGGTGTGTATATTCAGAACTTGCCCGATGATCTGAATGTAACCGATGATCTGAATGAGAACGATGATCAGAATGAGATCTATCCTTTAAACTTCCTTCCAAATTTGACCTGTGATCTCTACTCCTATGATCATCCAGTTTTCTGTGTTTCTCTCTATCACTGTAATACCTAATAAAAGATAAATGAGGGATTAAATTAATAATGTGAATTAAAATTTTCCAAATAAAACAATTAAAAAATAAAACAGAAAAATACTTTAAGGCATCTTCTTAATTGTATATAAGCTCTGTGTTTCATTACAAAAACTTCCTAAATGAGCTTCAGTCATTGGCTCTATCTCTGCATGCCTTGCTGGAAAAATGATTCAATCACAAAACTGAAGTGAATCATACAGGATACCTCAGGCAGCAGCTTATTTTATATGCCCATTTTATTTTTTTAGTTATTTTTTAAATATTAAATACAATTTTATTTTTAGTTAAAGCATAACTGATACATAATATCACATTAGCTTCAGGTGTACAACATAAAGAGATTTCAAATTATACACAATATGGAATGTTCACCATGGTTCAGTGTAGTTACCATCTGTCACCATACAAAGTTATTACAATATTGACTATTCCCAAGCTGCACTTTATATCCCGATATAAATTTATATTTACATAAATTCATAAATTTATATAATTATATATTATAATTATCTGAATTTATATAAATTTATAACTGCAAGTCTATACCTATTAATCCCCTTCACTTAATTCACCTATACCCCCAACTCCCACCTCCCTTCTGGCAATCATCGCTTTATTCTCTGTATTTACGAGTTTTGTTTGTTTTTCTGTTTTTTTTTTTTTAAGATTCCAGACATAAGTGAAATCATACGGTATTTGTCTTTCTCTGTCTGAATTATTTCATTTAGTTCAAATGCCCATTTTTCAACTGGTTGCTACTATCCTATGCAAAAGTTATACTAATGCATCTTAGTTATCTGGAAGTGGGGATTAAGATAATGATACAGAATACACTTGAAATCAGAGCCTTTTATGAACTTTTAACCAGAAAAAAAATAAAGACCTCTAAAATGCAGTCTGTGAACTAATTTGCCAGAAGGGAATTTTCATTAGTTGGGGAAAGGTTGTTGTTATAAACAACATAAATTATGTTCTATAAACCTGTGAAATTATAAAAATTTACTACTACAAATAGATCCTTTTGTTTTGTGTGCCTTTTCTAATTCTAAGAGCAATTCCAGAATTGATGTATTTATGACAGTGCTTCTATGACAGAAGAAATTATTGCAGTGAGCCTAACTAAAATGAAAAGAAAATCTACTAATTTCTCTATTTCTGATCTTTTACTTATTCTTGTTTTATCTTTTGCTCTTCATAATTATAATTAACTGATGAAAGTATTCCTTTATCAAATAATGTATTTGTGATATTAGGTTTTCTACTACTTAGTTTTCAAATAACAACAATAAACAGAGAAAACTTCTGATTTTAAGACTTCCCAGATTGTTGTGATTAAATATAAACTCAGTATAAGTGTTTTCACATCAGTTAATTTTTCCCGTTTTTTTTTAATGGAATACAAAACTCCCCTCATCAAATTTCAGTCATATTCCACTGAGCTTTTATTTTACTCTATTATTGTATTTTGAAGAGTATTTGAGCCAATAATCTCCTAATCAACCAATAAAAATGAATACTATGATTTATTATAGCACTCTGATCTTAAATTAAGAATTTAAAAAAATTTTATAGAAATTCAGTTCTCATTAACAAAAATTACTTTGTATCAATTTTTTATTTGTAAATAAACACCTTTATTTCACTTATGATTTGTAATGATTACCTGAATACTGAACTGACTGATAAAGTCGAGTATTGCAAACTTAAAAAAAAAAAAAAAGATATGAATAAGCAAAATTTCAAAACTAATTGTCCAGTTTACCTGCTTTCTTGCTTGTAATGATCCCAGTCACGATGATCTTTACCATTACTAAAAGAAGAATAGGGTCTTTTCCTAGAGTCAGTCTTTTTATAAGAATCTCCCTGATGTCGGTCTTTATGATGATCATGATACTGAGATAAGTGTCTATCAGATGAATAACTGTCCCTGCTGCTATCATCGTGATTTGTATTCTCTTTTAATCTTTCCACATCTGTTAGATAAAAGAGTACAGCTTTGGTTAATGATGTGTAAAAACAAACAAACAAACAGAAAACAGACCAAAAAAAACCATGGTAAACAAAAGTAACTTTGCTGCTAGATTATAAGAACACCTATTTCAACTCCAGAAAAAAAAAAAAAAATCAGTTGTTCAACAGACAGTTAAAAGACTTTAGAAATGGTCTCTAAAGGCAGTATATTAAGGCCTACAAAAGAGTTACTGTATTCTGAAATGTGTAAAAATACAACTGAAAAATTTAAGGCCCATTTTCCTCTCAGACTATACTTTCGTTGCTCTTGCACCAGTAGAACACATTATTATTAGATTTATTTAAGATCTTATTTACTTGACACACAGAGAGAGAGAGAGAGAGAGAGAGAAGGAGAGAGCACACGCAGAGGGAGCAGGAGAGGGAAAAGGAGAAGCAGGCGCCTTGCCAAACAGGGAGCCCAATGTAGGGCTTGATCCCAGGACTCTGGAATCATTACCTGAGCTAAAGGCAGATGCTTAACCAACTGAGCCACCCATGCATGCCCGAAATAACATTTTAAAAAAATACATTCACTTTAACAATTATTCTATAAGTTCTAGAAACTGACAAGAGGTTGATTTATGGGAAGGTTAATAAGCTAAAAGGATTACTGTTTAAGATAACAAGATTTGATATAAAAATGTGGGTATTACGTAAAACAAACCTGAAAGAGGAAAACAATTTTTAAATTTAATCTCTAAAATAATTAGTAACACTTACCTGGATTTCTAATCACTTGAGCATTCGAGTTGCTGTTCTGGTCATTATTTTGCTAAAATAAATGCAGATATGTAAAAATCTTTAAAGTGGTTTCAAATACCCTTACAAAATTGGAAAAAGAAAAAAAAAAATAACCACCCTAAAAAGAAAATCCTGATGTTAAAAGAAGTCCTCGTATATTAGAATGTATACATGTATCACTTCCAGATACACTTCCAGATTTTTTAAAACATAGACTATCTGTCCCATGACTTTCTTTAAAATGAAAGAATTTTATTTAAAATTGAAAGAATTTTAGAGTTACAGAAAAGGTGCAAAAAAAGTACCTAGAGTTCCCATATGCCTTTTACCCAGCTTCTCCTAATGTTAATATCTTACAAAAGAGCACAGCATAATCAAAACTGAGTAATTAACATTGGGACAATACTATGTACTGAACTAGAAACTTTATTCAAATTTTACATTTTTCCAGTAAAATCTTTTTTCTGCTCCAAGACCCAATCTGGTATTCATATGAAAAATGAGTTTTCATGTTATCTTAATTTCCTCCAATTTCAGACAGCTTTTTAGTTTTTTTTTTCTTTTGTCTTCGATGACCTTGACACTTCTGTAGAGTACTAGACAGTTATTCTATAGAACATCTTTCAGTTGGGGTTTGTCTGATATTTTTCTCATGATCAAACTAAGGTATGCATTTTTGCCAAGAATTCCACAAAAGTGATGTACCTTTTTCTTAGTGCATGTACTGAGGGTTTATGCTATTAACCCTGATCAAATGTTTAAGGTGGTTTTTAAACACTTTGGAGGAGATACCCTTAGACTATGCCAATATCTTGTTTTCATGACCACTTATTTTAGCTTCCTTCAGAAGATCCTACCTGTAACAACTTTTATTGTGCTCTAACACTGATTTTGCATTTCCTTCATTCCTTCTACATTTATTAACTGAATTCTTCTATATGGAAGAATGTCTCAGTTTTAGTAACATAAACTAATGGAAAAAATATGATGCATTAATTTACCTGAGATTCCTGTCGTTTTTTAATAGCATGTTTATATAATTTATGTAATTTTCTTGCGTCAAACTCCGTAAACTTAGATACAAAAATCCACAGGTTTCTAGAAGAAGAACAGGTAAATCAGTCTGGTGGAAAAATTAAGCCTTTTTATGGAACCCCTAACCTCTAGACAGAAACACACATACACACATACTTGGCCTTCTATGGAACAAAGCCCAAGGACATTATTTCTAGTATTTTTAAAAACTTTACATGGTTAAGACTCCAATCTTTTTAAGTAATCTCTACATCCAACACCAAACTCACAACCTTAAGATCAAGAGTTCCATGATCCAAAGACTGAGCCAGGCTGGTGCTCCCATATGAATAAGACTCCAAATGAAATTAAACATTAACTTTTACTTCTCTTCCAAATCCTTTCATTTTATAATCTTTTAGAATGAAAAGTAGTAATCCATCCTCATTTGAAACCAAAAAGCTATAAACTTACAAATCAGGAAGGGACTCATATCATGGTTCCTATTACTATAAAAGAAATAACCTATGCTAGTAGTCTGACTAAAGATACCATCAGATAGTGTGGATTAAGCTTGTTTAAGAAGGGTCCTAAAGAATGTGTTAAAGAGGGGTGCCTGGGTGGCTCAATGGGTTAAAGCCTCTGTCTTCGGCTCAGGTCATAATCTCAGAGTCCTAGGATCAAGCCCCGTATCAGGCTCTCTGCTCGGCGGAGAGCCTGCTTCCCCCTCTCTGCCTACTTGGGATCTCTGTCTATCAAATCAATAAAATCTAAAAAAAAAAAAAAAATGTGTTAAAGAGCAACTGTATGGGACCCATTAACAGAGAAACTTTAAATTTGGATCTTGAATATAAAAAGATAATGTGGCTATATTTCCATTTAAGCCTAATAAATATATATAATTGAACTTCACTGTATCCCTGTTCTATAGTTCTGTGGTTTGGGAGTCATCATGTGAGTTGAAAGAGCTTGAGATGTATAGAATTCTGTCTTATGGTATTTAAGGAAAGCATTAAAACTCTAGTATATATATTCCAACTATAAATAAAAGATTAAGCCAGACAAAATAACATAGTACTTTATGATTATTTCCTCTCCTTCCTCATAATCTTTTTTTTTTTTTTTCAGATTATTTATTTCAGACAGAGAAGAGAGTGTGAACAGGGAAAGGGGCAGAGGGAGAGTTCTTGATCTCAGAACCCTGAGATCACAACGTGAACCAAAATCCAGAATCAGATGCTTAATGGACAGAGCCACCCAGGTGCCCCTCCTCATAATATATCTTATCACTCAGTTGAAAAATATACAGTGCCTTATATATAGTTTATAAAGGGTTGCAAGTACAGATGATGTTATTTTACAGATGATTACTAGTGGGCTCAGAGATATTCTGTAACTGTTCAAGATCACAAAGCCAATAATTAGCCAAAATGGGGACCAAGCATGTCTTCTGATACCAACTCCAGGAATCACTGCATGGCATTATAGGCACATGTCTTTATGCTTTTATTGTCCACGCATGGCTTCAGTGTCTTTAGTCATGATAGCTCAGTTTCATTTGTTTTCAAAAGCTTAGTGATCATAATCAACTTCGTCTCCTCTAACATGGGTCCTGGTGGAGTTTAAGGAGAAAGTGGACAAGGATAAAATCTCTCATGTAATCATCAGTCCTTCAGAAATGTCATTATTACAGTTTTCTGCTTTAATGTATAGCTGTACTGCATAAAGCAAGGAAATCCACAAACTAATAAACTGATATGACTGGGTTGTGGTCATTTTGGAGTATTCCTAACTTGTCCAGTAGCTTGGCTTAACACTGATCTGGATCTGGTAGTCATTAAGTGATTTGTATAATATTATAGCAGCTCAGATTTATAAATTTTAAGATCAATTGTGTTGCTGCTGCTTCTAAAATAAAGGGGAAAGTAAAAGTCTGCATTTTACACTGCTTGAGAAAATTAATTTTTACAAGGCTGTATACTTAGACCTAGAAGATGAATTGCTAAATTTATATAACAATAAATTTATTTATTTGGTACTGCAAAATTCTAAAGTTATTACTAAGAAAAATTTGGCGAACTGTAGAAATTTCTAAAAATAAAATGTAGCCTGAATTTTAATAGAAGTTTCCACTACTTTTTTTTTTTTTTTTTAAGATTTTAATTATTTGAGAGAGAGAGAGAATACACATGAACACAGGCAGGTAAAGGGGCACAGGGAAAGGGACAAGCAGACTCCCCACTGAGCATGGAGCCCAATGCAGGGCTCAATCCCAGGATTTGGGGATCATGACCTGAGCTGAAGTCTGGTGCTTTACTGACTGTGTCACCCAGCCAACCCTTCACTATTTTGTGTTTAAAGGAAGAGGTGCCACCTGTGGCTTATCATGACATATAATTAAGCAATCTTTCACAAATACAAAGCTTTGAAGTTAAAGGGAAAAAATGAAAACAATCGCCCTCAGACTACCTCTTTAAACATTATTTTGTTACCTAAACTTCAGAATAAGAAACTGAAATAATAAGACACAAATAGATGGTTACGTAATTACAAATTTCATGTTTCCTGAAAAGCACATCACTTACTTTCTCCACTGCTTGATTTGTTCAGGATTTGCATACTCTTTCAGACATTCTGTGATATGGTCTCCAATTTTTATTAAACACTGTCTAGTATGCTCCAATTGTTCTCTTTCTGAAAGGCCTTTTTCAGGCCTATCAAGTTGTTTCAAAGCTGCTTTGACAGGCCTCATCCTTTCTTTACACTTTAAATATGGGAAAATAAGAACATGTATTAAAAATAAGAATTCAACAAAGATCTTTTTCCTTCAATACATCTATATGAGTAAATATAACACAATTTGATGCTAAAATAAGCATTAAAGCATGCATCGCAGCTCTTAAATATCAGGGTTTTTTCTCTCAGATTTTCTTCAGAAAGTAAGGTTTTCCACTATCAATTAAATTCAATCTTTATGTATGTTAAAGCTTTGGGTTTACTTACCTTCTATAAAAATGGTTACTTTATACCTTGTAACACATTATTAAGCAGTCTTAAACACAGAATGTTAAAAAATAATGTATCTCAAAACACAACTTAGTATCTTAGATTCACTCTAATATAGAATAAAATGTAAAAAATAAGGATCTTCATAAAATAAAAATGCTGGCAAAGCTATTAAAATCAATGCAGCTATAAGTATAAACTGTCTATGCTTCTAAACCTTTGGGACAAAAGAAAGTAGCTAAAGAATTTTGCTCTTATATTTTGGCTGGTCAGGGAACTGGGAATGCTTAATAGGAACCAACCTTTTCCATTGCCTACATATCACTGGCATGCCAATAAAAGGATGATATATCAAAAACTGTATGATTTAGTTAAAAGTCCAACATGTGCAATAAAAGCTATAACCTTAAGCCAAAACTAAATAAGAGTATTACTAAAAAACCAAACTATACAAATTTTATTTATGCATACAAATGCAAAACAAATGTAAAATGAATAATGATATCCTCAAGTAGCAAAGCTGGGTTAGTTCCCAGAATGTTAAGGATGGATCAACTATAGAAAATATATTTAGCTGAACCAACATCATTTAAAGAAGAAATCCTCATATCACTGCCATGGAAGGGCCAGTCTTATTAAGTGTCTGTATATGTGTGGAATCGTTTCTGAGTATTTTATTCTGTTTTATTGACTTACTTATCCAAATCGCTTGGAAGTTATCCATCTTCTGTCAGAAATAATTTAAATAATATTAGAATTACATGCTTTTTAGTTAAAATCAGAATTCTGCCAGGCCTGTTGTCTTTTTTTTTATTAAGGGAAAATCTTTTCCTTTCTAATTTCCAGCATTACTCCTCTCTGTTCTCCACATTTCCTGTTTCTTGCTCGATTTTGGTAGTTTATATTCTGCTAGAAAATGATTCATTCAACATATATAATTTGAGTACATACCATGTTCTAAGCATTATCTCAGACCCAGGAAATAGAGCAATAAATAAAAGAGATCTTGCTTTTGTGGAACCTGTACTCTAGTAGGAGAAAACAGCCAATAAATAAATAAGATGCAGTGTGCTGGATGGTGACAAAGAAAAATAAATCAAGAAAAATAGAGAGATTTCTACTTCAAGTAAGACTTCAGAGAACAGTGATGTTTGAGCATCTATTTAAAGAAAATGACAGAGTAAGCGATTTTGAGCAGAGGGAAGAACAAGTACATATGTTCTAAAAATTGAAAGTTCAAAGAAATAGTATAAATACCAGCATGGCCAGAACCTAGAAGTAGCAAGAGATGATGGGAATAATAAACCAGATGCAGTATCTTTTAGCCTATTATAAATCTTTCATCCTGAGTGAGGGCAAGCCACTCTTCGAAGGATTTGAAGCAAAAAAATAAGCAGGGGTGACTCTACCCTCTCTGTAACAGTCATTATCACTCTGGCTGCTGTGTGTGGAGTATGCACTGAGGAATGAAAAGGGTATGAGCAAAAGATGAATGGGAGCAGTGAAAAACAGCTAAGAAGCTTTTGAAATAATTGAAGGCAGAGATGGATATAGCTTGAAATAGTATGGAAGAGCCAATATGATTTGCTCATTGACTGATAGCGGAAAAGAAAAAAAGAATTCCTGACCAAAATCTATGCTAAGGCCAAGGCCTGAAGTTGGGAATTGGAGCAATGATAACCAATATTTACAAAGCACTTGCTAAGTATTAGAAGCTATGTGTTGTGTAAAGTCACCTCATTTAATTCTGCTAGTAGACCTTTGCAACACTATTTATTTTATTGAAGAAACTGAAGCTTAGAGTGAAATGACATCTATCAAACCCAGGTCTGACCTCAAAGGCTGTACTCTTTCTTAACTGTTAAATTACATAGGATATTTAGGAGACAAATCAATAAGACACAAAGAAAATCAAGAGGTGTCAAATTAAGCAAAGATGTAAAGGAAAATGAAGACCAAGAAAAGACCGCCGAATTTAATAATCAGAGCTACTTCCAAATAAAATTTATATAGCAGTAAAATCCTAATCATGTGAGCTCAGAAAGTTTGGCTACAGAGTCCATGTTGAAAACTATTCCATTCTCTCCATAATACAAGCGATTTTAAGATCAATCATAAAAGTTGATGGAGAAGAAACTCGTGCATTGGGCACAACAGGAAGTTTTCCATTTCAGCAGTTATATGAACCAGTCAGAAGGCTAAGGAGGAAATGTAGGCAAAGAAAGGTGGCAAGAGGTACTATCTCACCTAACTCAGTAATGAATAGGCAGAGTAAGGGCAGCAGTTCAAAAGAGTTCAGTCTTCACTTCAGAAAAGCAAAAGCACACCACCACCTCCCTATTCCCACCCAATAGAGAGGCTTTAAAAAAAAAAAAAATCAACAGAAAATAGAGAGAGGCTAGATTAAGAACCAGGTCACAAACAGAAAGGTTAACCTTAAAAAGATGCTGAGGGATCCCAGCATGTAAGAGATAAAAATGAAAGTCCAGAGATATGTTCAAATAAGTACGATGGAAATCAGGAATAAGAGTAGCTTATTCTGACTGTCTCCAACATTCTTAGGGATTGGAGGGATGTAAACAGCCTAAAATAAGAAGGAGAAAAAAACTGAGGTAGAAACTACTATACTTAAAGAGCATGAAAAATATCTGAAGGTGTATTAGGGCATGCCATGGAATTAGCAGGAATGAATAAATAAATGGGTTCAATGATCAACATTCTCTAGTTAGGGTACAAAGTAGAAGAAAATGGGAAAAGAAGGTAACCTGGGCATCTAAAACAGTGTAGGAGGTAAAACAAAAACATGTTTTTAGAAGTGAAAATTTCCACCTTTCAAGTATAGCATTTGATTAATACTAGCAATAAAACTGACTTAAGATTATACCAAAACAGCAAAAAGATTCAGATTCTAGAGATCCTAAAGAGGAAATAGTCTTTTTTTTAAGATTTCATTTATCTTTTTAGAGAGAGAGAGGAGAGAGAGCATGTGCAAGTGCGTAAGAGGGAGAGGCAGAGGGGAAGGGAGAGAATCTTAAGGAGGCTCCAACACGGGGCTCAATCTCATGACCCTGAGATCATGACCTGAGCCAAATCAAGAGTCAGAAGCTTAATCAACCAAGCCACCCAGGCACCCCAAAGATGAAATATTCCCATATGAATACATATTTACATGTATTTGTGTATACTGTAACCATATATAAATAAGATACATTTATATCAGACTACAGATTTTCCCTTTAGGTGCTACCAATAATAATTTACCTCTTATTGAAGAATAATTTGTACCTTTCTCATATCATTCAGTCTTCTTTCTCTAGTAACATTACTACTCCTCCTGATTTTGCTCTGTATCTGGAATTTTTTAGTCCTTTAACAATCTGCTGGCATGTCTATATTCAACAACAATATCCACCACAACCACTACCAATTTTTTTGAGCAAAGCACTAGCTGAAAACTTTCTATGTATCAACTCTTCTGATCGTGATACTTACTTTTCTAATAGCAGCACTCTGGCTCCAGAGCCAGTACATTCAATTGCTGCACATAACTGCTTTCCCACACTGCAACCTCACTATTAAGTTTTCCTCAAAATTTATATCACAATTAATTTCACAGTAGAGACTATTTTGGGTTCTTGATTATATCAAGAACTTGATTATATAAAGAACTCATTTGGAAAAAGGCCAAGATTGAGCCTCCCTGACTTTGATGAATATAAAAGCATGACAACATGTAAACCCAGTATTTATTAGCCAAGTTGTTAGCTAAAGTAGCCTATGAAACTGTACTAGTTCACAAGAGGGAATAGGCAGAAATTTTAGAAACCCTTCTATCAATTTGACAATGTAATTTTAGGTCTACTGAATCTGGTAATACAATGGGGCTTACGTTTTGCATTTTCCCCTTATTTTCACTTTTCTAATGAAATAATTTCACTATTTGTTTTTATTGTACTTTCTAAGAATATTGGTCTATAAAAGATTGGGAAAAAAAGCTAGTCCTATTCTATAGATAAGAAGCAATGTTACAAAGATAAAAGGTACAGGAACAGAGAAGTTTACAATTCTAAAGCTGAAGGGAAAAAAGTTTGCTCCAAGCATTCCCTAAATGCCTCTCCTTAAAGTCTTTATTAAAGAGCTTTTCCAAGTTAATTCTAAATTTAAGAAAACTTTCAAAATTTAAATCTATTGCCTTTATCAATCTGAACTGTAGTACTACCCAATTCAAAAACACTTCTAAATTAAAAGCTCCAGAAGATAAAATTGCCAATTAAAATACTGTATGAATTCTTACTAATAACCAGCAAGTCTACTACTTACAATGCTGAATGTCTTCTGATCTAGCTCTTCAGATTCTTCAGATATGGGAACTGGTTCACCACCTGCGGTGATATGAACTGGAGCATCTGACACTGAAGATTTCTTGGATCTTTCCTTGCTATCAGACTTGGATTCACTCAACTAAAGAAAAAGAGAAAATAAAAACAAAAGTCCAACAAAAACAAAGGTAAAATGATTAACACTTCCAGAAAACAATTACTGTCTTACTTTATTCTACAGTGATTTGTTCACATTCCACACTCTATTTTATCTGTCTGGGAAACCAAAAATGGATCCACTCTGCAATGTTACCATATAGGTAAAGCTTTAAAAACAAACAAACAAAAAAGTTTTTCTCCTTTTCTAGATACCCATATGTATTTTTAAAGAACTTGGTTATTCAGGCTAATTTGGGATGATAGGCAATTTATTTTCCTAAAATGTAAATATGCTGATTATGTCACTTTCTAAGTTTATATTATGATTTGCATACCTTTTCTTCCTTTATGTCTTTTTCTTTCTGTATAGCTTCTTTTACTTTGTTTTCTCTTTTCTCTTTAAAATCTTTTTCCTTTATATCTTTCTTATCCTCTTTTTCTTTTAGCTCCCTTTTAAGTTCTCTTTTATTCTCTTTTTCTTTTGCTTCCCTCTTTTCTTCTGATTCCTTCTTTATAAAAACATCTGGCTCAGGTCTTTCTTCACTGTCTCTTTCTGTTTTAATTTTTTTATTTGGATGTTTCACAGAAGTGATCTCATCCTGAAAAGGGCAAGTATGGCCAATGTATTACTAACCAAATCTTGACAAAGACTAATTTCTTTTCTTTGCATGACTATGGATTGCATGTACATGGATTCAGAAAGAAATAACCCAGAATCCCGTTAATAATGATACATGCAAAGTTCACCTTCCTATAAAAACTAAAGTAAGCCAGTCCCATTCAAAATTCAAAATAAAATGAAAGGAAACAGAACCTCATTTAAACGGCAAATGTTTGAAAAGGACAGACCTCTGCTCTATCCCTCTTAGTGATGGGTAGAATTCTGTTTCATACATGAGACTATGTAATGAACTACAAAAAAGGAACTTTAGTACCTTAAAGTAAAATTTGTCTTAGTTCAAATTTTAAATGTTAAGTATACTAAAGCATGCTATGTGCCTTTCTAATATAAAAATCTTTCTAAAAACACATTCTCACCTTTTCATCATCTTCATCAGACTTCTCTGAAGGCAAGGGTGAAGAATCACTCTTTATTTCTTCTTTCACTTTTATAGACTTCATTGCTTTATTCTTCTTAGCTCTTGCTTTTCTCCTCTTTGATCCTCCCTAAAAATAATTATTTTTATTCTAACCAACTCCACAGATTCAGTAAAAAAAAAAAAAAAAAAAATTCTTGAATTCTAAATCTAAAAAGCTAAAAAAGAGATATTCCTACCCAATCCTTAGTCTAATCACAATCTGCTACACCAGTCTTAGAAAATCAACAAAAGTGATTTTGTACATATTATCAAGTACATATTTGTACAAATCAAGTACATATTATGAATAACAGGAACTAACGACAATTAATTATTCCCTTAAAAAAGGATTAGAGAAAAGCAAAAGTTGAAAGAAACAGAAGGAAGGTTTTTCACCTTCCTAAATTACTATTATCTTAAACTAAATTTGATCCTACCAGAGACAGCATTATAAATATTTTTATTGGTACATAGGTAGCTACTAACATTGTGGTTATAATGCAAATGGTTAAAGGCTGTTAGTTTCCAATCACCTCTTCTTCAGTGTATTTTTCCTACTATTTTGGACCCCCTGCCCCTAATAAATAAGCTCAGTGTTCTTTACGCTGTACCTTCAGCTCTCCAATACCACCAAATAAAAGAGTAATAGAGGCTTGATCTCTTAAAAAGTACACCACTTTAAACAGGTTGCCCCTAGTACCTATCCAAACATTAGGAAAAAAACCTGGATCCCACTTCTGAAAAAAGGACATACCAGTTTTAACAGGAATGCAGAGATAACTTAGGGCAAAATGTCATCAAATGCAATTAAAGTTATCAAATTACAGAAAAATACACTTATAAGGTCATATTAGCCTCAGATATCTAGGGCTTTCAGTAAACTAAATTTATCATACTGAAAAGTAAACTGCTCTTTAAGCATCTAAATTTTAACTTACTGCACCAGAAAGCCTCTGAGCTTCTTTTTTGGCAAGATCTCTACTAAGTAATTTGATGAGGTAGTCCGCACGTGTCTGCAATTGCTTTGCTTGTGGTTTTTTATCAGGATCATCTGGAAGGATCTTGAAAGAAATTAATTTTTTCAGGTTGTATTTAATAAGTAATATGAGAAATTTACTGCCTATATATAAGGCTTACACATTTAAAGAAACACATAATTTACTGCAAGTTCTAACTGTTAAAATTTGAATGCAGTAAGAATGCAAAATACATTTTTTTATTTATACCTACACCACAGCAAAGATTTCATTTGCCTGGGAATGAGTTCTAAATAAATACATGAAAAAAAAAAAATCACTCCATTCAAAATAATATAAAGTGTGAGGTTAGAAATTTCCTTCAAATGTACAAGTATATGTAGCATCCAGTGTTATTAAACATTATTTTTAGATATCTTCCCTCTCTTAGTAACAGTATATTTAACTATAAAGTATACAAAAATTCGTCAAATACAATGTATCAGCTATGTATGTGACCCAAAGCATGGACTCTGAAGAAATTTTTACAGTGGGAATTTAAGCTATTCAAGTTTGGCTTCACAGATAGCAAATGATGCAACACCAATATTAAAAGTGACTGTGAAGAAGTAAAATATAAAAAGATATATGATAATAAGGCAATGCTTCCAGTGTTTTCTAGTCTAGGCAAAAAAATGATTTTAGTTGTGGTAGTATCAAATCACTAAAACCCCTAAACATTAATAATTTAAAAAAAATTATTTTGCTCTTGAATAATGTGACAGAATGAGAATTTTACTTTAAACCTAGTAATATGAAGAAAAATAAACCTATGCCTTAATAAAAAAATATAATTTCAGAGGTAAAGCAAAATCTAAGAGACATTCAAATTCAACCCCTTCATGAAAATCAAGATGCCAAGGTCATACAGCTAGTTGCAACCTTGGTTTCCTATCAATTGAGTTTATTTCTAACATAATTTAAAAGCAAAAATATAATTCAGTACCAGTAGTCTACAGAAACAAGAAATATATAAGTACCTTGTGTGTTAAACTGAGGTCAGGATCCATTTTAATCATTTCCCAGCTTCCATATCCATATTCATAGATACCAATTAACAAATTGGAATCATCTTCTTTGCCCCAGTCTATATCAAAATGAGCTGCCTTTGTGTGGCATGGGATAGTATACCTGTATCAAAGTTAATAACCACTTTCAAGTTTATAACTGCCATATTTTTTTTTAAAGATTTTATTTATTTATTTGACAGAGAGAGATCACAAGTAGGCAGAGAGGCAGGCAGAGAGGGAGGGAGGAAGCAGGCTCCCTGCTGAGCAGAGAGCCTGATGCGGGGCTGGATCCCAGGACCCTGGGATCATGACCTGAGCCGAAGGCAGAAGCTTAACCCACTGAGCCACCCAGGTGTCCCTATAACTGCCATATTAAAAATTAATTTTGAAGGACATATTTCAGTTATTGGAACTTCAAAATACTATGCCTTATTTATTTTTAAAAACATTTCATTCAAACTAGCCAATGACATAAGACTTTTATAACATACATACAAATTCGAATTATTGAATAACAACAAATAGTTTACAATGGATAAAGTAAACAACTCACTGCTTTCTTTCTTCTGGATCTGAAGGAATGGATTTGTGCAATGGTATTAATTCTTCTTCGTGGGAGATGACGAGCTTGGCATTCACCTGTACACCTGATATTCGGAATGTTGGACCCTTCACTTTTCCAAGTCTACCACCTTAAATTTAAGACATAAAAAAAATGAAATATCAATTCTACAAAATATAAAGATATGCTATTACTTATATTAATAATCATTACTATTTAACTGTATTTATAAGTATTACTTATTTATATTACTGAGTGGTGGCACTTGCTGCAAACCTTAAATTTGACAAGATTTTTCAGTACATACTATAGAGATTACAATAAAGCAGATGTGGATTCACAGAAAGCATTTCATAGAAAGTATTTCCATAAATGTTTTATCAATTGCACAAGATACATCTATTAATACTCTTACCTTCTAAATAAGTGTTCTAGCATAATTTTTCTCAGTATACCTTATTACTAAATATTAGCTAAATATTTTAAGTAAATTACAAAATAAGCATAATGAAATAACTATGCCCAAAGCCATTACCACACAGGCACACTATCTTTTCCCAGCCATCTATACTAAAAATACAGAAACTTCTGATGTTACCAATTAGTTAGAATACATCAGACAGATAGACAGAATCTACTGCTTTCAAGAATACAATTCTGTTACCCATTTCCTATTACCCAGTATGGTCCTGCTTTGTTTTTCAAAGCATCTTTTAAGAGTGGTGAAAAGGTAAATACCCTCCTAACTCAGTAAAAGCGTTATCTGAAACTTCCAGTTACTCTCTTTTTAAATCACTCTCACTTTAATATTACCTGTTCGTTCTGTTCCTGAAGAATTATCCTTTAAAGCTTTAATGCAACCATTATGCACCAATTCTCCTAATCGTCGGAGGTCTGTCTCTGACTTATCAACTAATTCAGCATCCCGAGCAATTGCATCTAATCTGTTAATGAAATAACAAAATTTTCAGGTAAATATGGAGAATAAAGTGGTAGCATTTAAGAGACAGTAGTTCCACTCTACCTCAACCTCTACATGTCACTCTACATGCCCTAAAAAGTCTAGTTCACATAAATGGCACAAGATACATAAAAAAGGAGTTCAAAAAATGTTTAAAAATTTGGCAGGGAAACAATTTATTTATGCATTTATTCAAGAATAATAAAGTTAACCAATTCATTATAAAAAAATGGTATGCTTCCGGGGCGCCTGGGTGGCTCAGTGGGTTAAGGCCACTGCCTTCGGCTCAGGTCATGGTCCCAGGGTCCTGGGATGGAGCCCCGCGTCGGGCTCTCTGCTCAGCGGGGAGCCTGCTTCCCTTCCTCTCTCTCTCTCTGCCTGCCTCTCTGCCTACTTGTGATTTCTGTCAAATAAATAAATAAAATCTTAAAAAAAAAATGGTATGCTTCCAACTTGAAGATTATGTAATAATTCTATAAAAGCTCTTCATAACCAATCATATCTTAAATTCTAAAGTGGCTAAACATTGTAATAAAGATGATCCTTGAACACAGGCTTGATCTGGACAGGTCTAATTATATGTGGACTTTTTTTTTGGTAAATATAGTAACTCTAAATATCCAAAATAAAACAGAAAATATCTTTAAGAGGGAGTTCTGGAGAGAAAAAATAGAATTGAGCCAATCTGAGTCTTTGCTACTGTATATGCAGACATTGGGCCTTCCACAACAAAGGACAAAGAATATTAAAATCACCAACAATTATTGAAATTAACCATTAACTTAAACACACACACACACACACACACACACACACACACCCCTCCGTCCTGATAAACTAAATTTTAAACATGAACTATAATTAGGGAAACTTTGTAAATGATTTTTAAGCAAATTTAATGAAGTAGTTAAAGCCAATAGTAATATATGTAAATAAAGCTGAAAGCACATAACACACGTCCTGTGATTCTAAGAATGAAATATTTACCTTTCCAGAGGGCCACCAAATTTCTTGTAACTCTTGATAAACCTAACAGAAAATAAATGTTTGGTTTAAATGTGTTATCCATTAAAAAATGATACATAAATATACAGAAATAAGAAAACAGCTGTTAGTGCAAGAATTAATTCAAGGCACTGTTACTACTAACACAAATGAAGAAACCATGCTAAAGACAAAAATGTTAAAACATTAATATATACCAAGTAAGACAAGACATATTTTAACATCCAGCATGATGTTTAGAAACCAATATAAATAAAACAATAGAAGCTAAATTTTATTTTAGAAATTATTTTATTATTTTCACAAGACAAGTTCAAGGCTACCACAGGAAGTATGTCCAGAATTATCAACCATACTACACCTCCTTCAAATTCCAAGTATTGATAAAAGTTTACTAAATAATAGCTTTATTTCAGATGTATGGTATAATACCAACAATGGAAAATAAAAATTTTACTTAAGAACAAAGCTACCAAGTGGTTGATGGATGAGGGAAAATATCCAGGAAAAGTAGAAGTTGAAATGTTCTTCAACTAAAGACAGAAAGTCCAGCAAATCAGGTGGTCATAAAAGTACCCTTAATAAAATCTAACAACATATTTAGTTTTCTGGTAGAAAGAATGAGGAAGAACTTTATCGGTCAGGTCTATGATTTAAAAGAAAAGAGTTAAAATGGCTTGAAAGAAATAACAAACTCTCAAAATATAACAGTAAGCAAACCTTCTTACAAATTTCATAAGCAAAAATATTACATAAACAAACGCAGGCTGATATCCCATTCCCCTTATATAAATGTATATAAAGAAAAACATATTTTCAAAGAAAACTGTAACTTATCCTACATGACTATCTTACCTCAATTCTTACTTGGACATATCAGAAATGCTTTTAACATTGCTACTTTCAAAAAGCAAACCTCCTCAGTGTTAAAAAAATAGAAAAATATCGAACTAAAGTAGTCCCACATAAAAATAGTAATGTTGGGAGTCATAAATGCAGGAAAAAATTTTAATAAATAAATCCAATGTACTAAAATGTACACTCATTATTCAAAAAGGTCACTATTCCAAACCACATTAATAAAACCAAAAAAATTTAGCAGTCTAAGTAGACTAACAATAAATAACATGCAGAGATTAGATACCAAACTTTATTTTCCATAGCTATAATGAAGACCCAAAAGCAGAACCATCCAATTCCTACACAATTATCATATATTTGCCTCCTCTAAAACCTTCATTTTAATTTTGAAAATTATGGAAATTTGTACATTTAAATTTCACCTTCTAACAAAAGCAAGTTGAAGTAAAATAGTCTTATGTCATCTTACCGCCTAATTTCTGCATCACTAAATCCTTTGATATTCTCTCGAGGAATAGTCCGTGGTCTTCCACGTTTCTTTGGCCTTTTCCTTTCTGAGATTGAGTCACTATCAGATCCAGAATATCTCCTACTTCTACTGCGCCTCCCTTCACTTCCATTAAAACTAATCTGGAATTGGAAAACAAAAATTTATCCAACCTTAGACTAAAGAAGCCTTCTAACTCTAAGAGCAAAGAAAACATTAAGAGAATTAACAAATTCAAATGTTGTCTGTATATCAAAATTTTTTCTATAAATAAAACCAAAAAAGCCAACAAAACAGAGAAAAACATGGCAGGTTAATGACAAAGAGTTATTAACAGCCCCAAACATTTTTTAAAACATTCTTATAAATTAGAAAGAAAATACAAAATTGTCTTTTTTTTTTTTAATACTGATTAGAGAGAGAATGCTCACATGTGAGAAGGGGAGGGGCAGAGAAGAGGGAGAAAGAATCTCCAGCAGACTCCCTGCTGAGAATGAGGCCCTGATGCTGGATCTCACAACCCCTGACATCATGACCTCAGAAGAAACCGAGAGTCAGATGCTTAACCAACTGAGCCACCCAGGTGCCCCCAAAATTGTTCTTTTGTAAAAATGAGAAAAATTATTAATAAGTGATTAATCAAATAGCATAAACATAGAATTAAACAATCTCAATGGTAATTTTTTTAAAATAAGAATTGAAGTAACAGTATTTATAAGACCAATTATTTAACAGAAACATCAAAACATATCTTTATAACTCTCTGGAATTTTTCTAAGGTCACAGTGCATTTTCTGAACCCCTAATATGCTGAAAGCTAACTGAAAGTCAAAGACAGTAGTCAGTTCTTCCTCATTCTAACCTCCTTTCACAAGAAGTAATATAATGCTGTGCTTCCTGTGTACTATAAAAGGAAATCATCATGGGGTTGGCAGAAATAAACACTAACAAGAAACTACATACATGTCACTTTCAGACCACATTTTTTTTTGGCTTCTGCCTATTGATAGGATGCACCGATCCTAACAACAAATCTCAATTACAAAATCCTAACTCCTCTTACACAATCACAAGGCAATCTAATAGTCTCAAATATAAGGAAATACAGCAGAGTTGGTAAGAAAAGATGAAACTTGAACATTGGTTCACCTGTGAAAAGCATGAGTTATAAGCAGGCAAAAGGAAGTTAGCTAAAATTTGCTACAGGCTTTGTTTGGGTGACTATGAGAGTACAGGATCCCTGGAAATGAAAGGCAAGGAGAATACAACTTGCACCCCATCTCACACATTCCTCTGCAAAACTCCCAACAGGTGCTCATGAGTAACATTGGGCAGGAGATAAGAAAAAACTTTCACTGAGGGCACTGAGGGCACCTCACTGGGCACCTCACCAAAAGACACAATACAGTTGCAGGAAAAGAAAAAGAAAACAAAACACTCTACCCCTGGGTGAAGGATAGCAGAACAATGACTAAGCAATTCTCTCATTTGCCTCAGACTAAAAATTTAAGGAGGCACCAAAAAAGCTCAGTAATCAAGACAAATAATCTTGTAATTGAATATTCTAAAAAACAAAAGTTAATTCAAACAAAAAAAAAATCTAGTATTAAAGTTTCTTTCCTTTTGTTGCAGGATCTCATGTAACCTGGAATGACCCTGTTACCATTATTTAAAATCTCCTATTTTCTTCACTTGGGTCATAAAATAAACAGCAATAAACTTAAAAATTCACATCACACAAGGTATGCTGATAATGACAGAATTAAACTAGAAATCATTAACAAAGATAATAAGAGTATCTCCCAAATATTTGGAAATTAAACTAAACTCTGTAATAACAAAAAAGAACAAAAGTAAACCAACAAAAAAATACCTACGGGTCAGAGTACTTCCATAAGGCAAATTAGAAAATACTCTGAAATGAATGAAAATGAAAACACAACAGGTATCAAAATTTACAAGATTAAAAAAAACGCAGTGCTTACAGGGAAACTTGTAGCATTAAACACTGATAATATTATAAAAGGAAGGTCTTGATTAAATTCTTAAGAATACATCTTAAGACACTAAAAACAGTAGATCAATTAAAGCAAAGCCAAAAAGAGTAAAAAAGAGCAGAAATCAATTGAAACAGAAAAAATAAATGAAACGAAGGATGATTTTTGGGAGGGATATTATGAATAACTTCATGTCCATAAATTCAATAATCTAGATAAAATGGACAAATTCCTTGAAAGAAACCAACTGCCAAACTCACAAGAAAGAAATATTGTGAATAGTTCTGTATTTATAAAAGAGCTTAGAGTTAAAAATTCTAACAAAGAAAACTCCAAGCCTAGATGGTTTTCCTGACAAATAATGCCAAACATTTAATGAAGAATACCAATTCTATACAGACTCTTCCCAAAAGCAGAGGAGGGGTGAACACTTTCCAACTTTTTTTATGAGACAAGAATTATTAAATCAGATGAAATACTACAAAAGAAACAATGGACCAGCATGCTTTATAAACAAAACCAGATCAGTCCAGGTATGAATACCCTTACAACGACAGACATGATCTTTTAAATTAAAAGATCACCTGTTTTGCACAGTTTCTCATTCTTGGAAGCATATAAATTTCTTCAAGTTCCTTTTGTCTTTCTTCCTCTTCTAATCGTCTTCTTTGATCTTCTGGAATTATTTCTTCCCAATTCTTTGAATTTCTTTCTGGTTCCAACTCAATGTCATCCTCATCCATATTTGAAAAGTTGGCAACCTTAAATTCCAGAATTTTAACAGAATAAGCATTAAAGAAAAACTCATCCTTAAATTATATTTTGCATTTTAGGGGAGAGGAAGTGATATCCCAGAATAAGGCAATAAAACCTAAATATCCTCAGGATAATGAATATCACTATGGATTAAACCAAAAATGACTGCTAAGCTATCTATATTCTTTATTAGTTCTTTATTATTTGTTATTTTTTATTAGGTCAAAGTAGAATTAACCAAAAGCCTTATAGAATGATCTATTTTGTCCTGCTGCTCAACAAAATCAGTTGACAGACCAACAATATAATTTATAGTAACATGCTAAATCATCTTTTGCAGAAAGTAGCACACCAGTCCATTAAGTACAAAGTGCTATAGAACAAACCAATAATCTTGTTTTTATGATCATAAAAAGTAGTACAAAGAGTTACTGACAAGACACAAAGAACTCTGGGTCCATAGATAACCTTAGGTTATCTTGGGTTCCTGGTTTCTTCAATGTTAAAAAAAAAGGGGATAGAAAGAGCTCAATAACTTTTGTGAAGATTAAATAATATACTGAAGGAACTATGAAGACTGGTACACAGAAGGGATTCATTAAAGCTAACTGCCAATAGTGGCATATAAAACTTACAAAAACTGGATGAAAAAAACCCATGCTTATCCTGTGTTAAGAAATGATACTACAAATAGTGTTCATCCTTTCATGTCTTTATTTATTTTAAAGACTTATTTGAGAGACAGAGAATGTAATAAATATTTGTTGAATGAACAAATGACACAAACTGAACTGCCCTTCTTAGAACCCTCAGTTCCTGGAAAATGGCTATCAAGGAACTTGCTTCTTTACACTAAACAGCTTACTCTAGGAGGTTGGCTGACTTATTCTGCTTTAGGACTCCTTGCAACCTTTTAGCCCTTACCAGACCAGGGGTATTTATAAGTACTAATAGGAGTTCATTGCTTACATGGACTGATTAACTTGAGTTTTCTTAGGTATGACAATGCTTAACTTAATCTAACATCAAAAACTGCTCCAACAAACATTAGCTAAAAGCCTTCTGTCATAGAAATCTCCATTAGAGACCATGTTCACTCATTTACCCAAATATTTGAGGATGTGCTATTTGCCAAGCACTTTTTTAGAAGCTAATTAGAATAACAGCCCTCCTCATTCCATTAAATGTACCTATTTATAAATGATTTGGTCCTTTTCAAAACAAGTTGCTACTGGTTTGTCAAAATAAGGGAGAAAAATTTTCAAACACATAGCAAATTTTAAGACAAAAATCTTAAGAAATTATGTTGACTGTGATTAAAGAGATTAATAAAACATGAAATGACAAAAAAAAAAATCACTCCCTCTCAATTTAGATAATTTGAAGGAAAAATTAAAAAGAAAGAAAATCTACCTTGAACTGGGAAAGCAACTCATCTCCTACAGTTAAAGGGCCTGGTTCGTTTTCATGAGTTTCAGCCCTCTTCAAGATTTCATCTATATCCATTTCCTATAATTAGAAAGAAATCTTTAAGTATACATTAATATATTTTGAAGTAAATATACCTCATAAGTTTAAAGAAATGGCACATTTTGAGGAAAGTTTTTTTTTACCTGGGGCTCTTGCTCTTCTCCTTCAGGTTCCTTAAAAAGTTCCTCAGCGCCAAACTTTAAAATGGCTGATAATTCTTCTTTATTGAAAGGAGTAGAACTAAATAAAGACAGACAAATAAAAATGCTTAATATTAACAGTTAACAATTTAATACTTACACTGCACTTTCATTCATTATTGACACAGTCAACTTTATATAAGTTATATGACAGAGTTAGGTGAAGTACTATAAGTTCATTCATTTTAAAAGATAAGAACTTGAAACCTGGAAATTAAAGGAATTTCTCCCAAGATTTATAAAACTTGAGTGTGAAATCAGTACTGAATGTATGCTTTTGATTAAAAATTACTCCAGTGCTTTAAAAAATTGAAGAATTACAATACTAAATATAATACATCAAAGATCAGCTTGTAGTATGTAACTACCAGGGCACCTGGGTGGCTCAGTTGGTTAAGCATCTGCCTTTCGCTCAGGTCATGAACTAAGGGTTCTGGGATACAACCCCGTGTCATCAGGCTCTCTGCTCAGGGGGAAGTCTGCTTCTCCCTCTGACTCTCTTCTCTCCTGCCCCGGATTCATGTTCTCTCTAACCAGAAAATCTTTAAAAAAAAAAAAAAAAAAAAAAAAAAAAAAAATTAAAGTAACTAACTACCTTGAGGGGGCAGAACCCGTATGTAGTACTGTCTTCCCAGTTGTGTCCATTCTCTGAATTACAAGGTGATCTAAAACCATCTTCTTTTTGGCCCTTTCAAGTATATCCTCTTCAACTGATCCCTTCGTAACTAGACGATAAATATTCACCTGTAAAGATACGCATGATGAGACATAAAATGCAGTAAAAAGGATTCACTTGCTAACGAACATCCAAATACTCTACATAGAAGGAAGCTCATCCTACGTGAAATTTTCACTGGTCAAAATAAAAATTAAAAAAAAAAAACCAATATATATAAAAGCTAAACTTCTTCAATTTAAAGATTATTTTGAGGCTGTGTCCTTCTTATATTTTGGTCAGGAGATTTTATTTGCTTATTTTTATTTTTTAAAAGCAATGACGGGGCGCCTGGGTGTCTCAGTGGGTTAAAGCCTCTGCCTTCGGCTCAGGTAATGATCTCAGGGTCCTGGGATTGAGTCCCCCATTGGGCTCTCTGCTCACCGGGAGCCTGCTTCCTGCCCCACTCTCTGCCTGCCTCTACAGCTACTTGTGATCTCTCTCTCTCTCAAATAACTAAATAAAATCTTTAAGAAATATATTAAAAAAATAAAAAATAAATAAAAGCAATGACAGTAATTTTTAAGTTATTTTTTAGCTAAAAAAAAAGTGGGAAAAAGTGGTAAACATATGACAATTTACATCAGTTATGTTAATTCTGATTGTTTCATATTTCATATAATCCAAAATTCTGTGAACCATTACCCATGTTAATGATGAAACCCTGCCATAAGACAAAGCTTTCCAAAACAAAAAAAATGATATGTAGATATTTTGCCCTATTTCTCAAGACCAGCAGTTCTATATAAACAGTAGGACCATATAGGGATATTCTGAAAATTTATGGGGACATTTTCATAGTTTTTGAAATCATCAGGTGGGTTTACCAGTACTTAAGAGCACAGGGACCTGGGACATTAGACATTCTGCATTAAACTGGACATTCAGGCACAAAGAAAAAGTATCTTGAGTCTTTCAAGTCTTATAAATGATTTTTTTAAAACTTTTAAATTATTTTGAGTCTAAATTCGATTCCATTTTAAAGTAAATAATAAGAGTTTTAATGAAGTTCTAATACATACACTTTTTTCCCAGCATTTTTACTGCATAAATCAGTAGATAACAGGATATCATTTTATTTAGATCTCTGTCAAAAATTATTTCCAAATGTGTACAGTATTGGTGTCACCAATAAAACGCATCTGTATGACTCATCTATACTCATTTTATAGTTGTTGCATATAAATATTTAATAAGAGATATGAAATACCTTGTGTCAGATTTAGAACCAAATACTAGTAAAACCATAGGCACGTGCATGATTTCACATATATGTGGAATTTGAAAAAACTAAACAAATGCTCATAGGGGAAAAGAGAAGCAAACCAAAAAAACAGACTCTTAACAACAGAAAACAAATTGATGGTTACCACCTTGGGGATGTGGGTGGGGCATTAAACAGGTGATGGGGATTACGGAGGGCCCCTGTTGTAAGGCGTACCATGTGTTGTATGGAAGAGTTCAAGCACTATAATGTACACTTGAAACTAATAATATACTGCATGTTAACTGGAATTTAAATAAAAATTTAAAAAATAAAAAACACCCAGGAACAGGAAGCAATCTTATTATAATACACCAATAATCAAATAATAAAGAATACAACTCAATAATCATTAATAAAAATATGTATCCACATTTATATATTTTAAATGTGTTAAGTGATAATTAAATTACATTTAAAAATATAGTTATGTTTATATCACATTTATTTTTTAAAAGTTTTGTAACATAAATGTAAGAAATCTGTGTTACCATCATTTTATGATCCTATTCAGATATTCTTCCCAGAGGTCTACCATGCAACTTTCTATAGTATTTTTATCTAACTGGTTCTTCTAATGTACCCTTTATTTTCTATCACCTATTGGAAAATGTGGTGGCCTTTAATTAGTATCTAAGTAGTATAAATGGAATGAGTCCAGCCATATGTTAAGGATTTCAATACAGGCAGGTTTAGTGCAATTAACCACTATGCCCCATCTCATTCATAATAACAGGCCTAATTTGACTATTCACAAGGTCCAGCTCACTTATAAGATTACCTTACTTCTTCACCATCTCCTCTCTGGCAGTCTGTAATTTATCTTGGCATGCTATTATCCCTACTTCAAGTGCACCTCTCTTTATTATATGCAAGTAAGTGTTATGACCAATTTTAATATTAATTGCTATTCTCTTATGCACCAACATACCCCTGGATCTTTCCTTCCTTGGTACTTCCAATGGAGAATGAGTTCTGCTCTTATTTTCCTATATATGTAGCTCTATATATTAAAATACGTATTTTTTAAAAGGGTTTTGGGTTGTTGTTTTTGTTATTTTTTTTTTCTACCTAAATTGCTATTAGGGCACTCAAATTATTTTCAAATTCATGCATTCAATTCAAGGAAAAGGAGGTGCTAAAAACAGATGATGTAAAAGTAGTCACTGGGTCTGATGATGTTAAGAACCACTACTGTAAATACAAGCTTTCAGTTAGGAGTATGCAATATTGTTCCAGAGTATAAAAAATGACAGAGAGAAGCATAATGTATTTCTGATCAGAGTTTTATGAGAATTATTTGGGCAAAATATTTTTTCAATTTAAAATTATGGACAAATTTTTCAGTAGAAAACATGAAATCTTAAAAAAGTAGTATAAATGTGCCCATAAGTCTTTCTGTTGTTTCTTATCTTCTGCTTTGGAGAAGTTTGAGAAGCACTACTCTAGATGTAGGTAAATGAATTAAAATACAAAGACCAAGGCATCAGAATGATGACAGGTGGTTTTTCTCAAGGCCTACTCTAACAGTATCAGAAAGCTATATAAAAACTATAAAATCAGAATGGCTTTTTTGCAATCTTATAGGCAAATGGATAAAATACAGGTTAAGAAAGAGGTAGCAATATACTAAAGAAAATCTCTTTCAGTAGTTAAGATAAAAACATTTTAAAGTTTAGGTTTTGAATGAAAAACGTTGGTACTCTAGAGCTGTAAACAAAACTTATGATTAAAAGAGAGGGAATAATCCTATTTTGGCAGTTACTTCAATTCTGCCAGACCTTCTTTCGGTAAATCTGAGTTCCTTAATATTTTACATGTTAAAGAGCAACATGACTGTGTTCCGATGACTTGACCAGGAAGATAAACCAAAATCACTTCCAAACACTGATGATCATAAAAAAAGAATACAAAAGTAAAATTAAAGAAAAAAAAAATACCTGTTTCTTCTGCCCAATTCGATGAGCTCTAGCCTGTGCCTGAAGATCATTTTGTGGATTCCAATCAGAATCAAATATAACAACAGTGTCAGCGGAGGCTAAATTAATTCCCAAGCCTCCAGCTCTTGTGGAAAGTAAAAAGCAGAAATCCTGTAAGGAATTATAAATAGGCTCGATTTTAAATTCTTCTAAACTGTGAGTGTGAATAATTAGAGAATTTAATAATTTATTTTTTTGAATTTAGAAGTATTTCACCAATAAAACTAAAAAGTAGTTTTAAAAAATACTAAAATACAAAACCTCTAGCAAAACCAGTCAACAAGACTCCTAAATACAAATATACATGGGAATAATATACACCAAATTTAAAGAATTCTAAATGAAAGTGGGCTAATTTATTCTGAATCAAATTAACTGTCCTATACTGAAACAGTATTAAAAAGAAAGGGTAAAATTCTTCAGATTTAACACAGAATATTGATTTCTAAAAACCTCACAAAGCAAAACTGGGTAACAACAATATGATTTAAAAAAAAAAAAAGCACATACAACTAAAATAGTGATTAAAATAATTCACAATTTTAAAAGCATTCATACCTCTGATCCTTCAGCATTAAAATGATCTAGAGCTTGTTTTCTCAGCTCCCCTTTTATTGATCCATCTAATCTCTAGAAAGAACACAGTAAAATACTGCATATAATCAAATCAAATATTTAAAAATAATATTAAAATCAACAAGATTAAAATCACTGATACTTAATCAATGAAATTAAGTATGAAAAGGCTGTACTGCTTTTGCTAAGACTGTAACAGAGTATAAGGTACCTAAGAGGCAAGAAGACAATGTCCAGGCATTTTGTCTCTCAAGTTTGTGCTCTTAACCACTAAAACTATTTCCCCAGATTATAACAGTAAGTAATGGCAATGGCTACCATTTCACCTGAGTCTCAGTGTAAGAAATACATTTTACATATGAATGAGTACACAGCTGTGTACCCAAAGCAAGTTACATGAAAACAATGTACCATGATATACTCACATATATTAAAATCTATTTCATTTTTTCAAAATATTGGTACAACTCATTAAATTGATTCCCAGATCCATTAACTGGTTACAGACCACAGTTTTATAAATGCTGATTAAGTCCAGCGTGGTTACTGGACCAACAGCCATCAATGTCACCTGAGAACTTAGAAATGCAAACTTTTGAGCCCCATCCCAGATCTACTGAATCAAAAACTCTGAGAACGGGATCCAGGGACATCTGGGTGGCTCAGTCGGTTAAGTGTCTGCCTTTGGCTCAGGTCATGATCTCAGGGTAATGGGATGGAGCCCCACATTGAGCTCTGCACTCAATAGGAAGTCTGCTTCTCACTCTCCCTCTGCCCCTCCTCCCTGCTCATGTAGGCTCTCTAATAAATAAAAACTTTAAAAATTAAAAAAAAAAAAGAGATAGAGAAAGAGAGAAAGGAAGGAAGGAAAGGAAGAAGGGAGGGAAAGAAAGAGGGAGGTAGATCCACCAAAACCCCCTGATTAAGTATGAAAGTCACTGATTTGGGGCACCACGGGTTCTAGTCAAATAGCCTGCATTTGAGTGTCTTCAGTATTCATGGGTGCCTGGACAAGTGATCTTGACTTTTTACCTTGTTCATTTCTTTCTCAGGGAATAATCATAATAGTAGTATTTCCCTCACAAAATTCAGAGCATTCAGTGAGAGAAAACAGTAAAAATACTTAGCTCAGTATTGGATATATACTGAGTGCTTACCAAACACTTGCTGAAAATATATATTTTAAATAGTGCTATTTGTTTCCTTTTCATTAACAATTACAATTAGTAAACTTTTAAAATACAGTGGCTATATCATTTATTGAGATATAACTAGACCAAAAGAATGGTAAAAATAGTCTTCTCTGGGAATTAATCTGGGAATGAGAAGGCATTAGGGGCACAGAACTGCTGAAAACAAGCACTTCTTTACTCTATTGTTTTGTTTGACCATGTACATATACTAGTTTGACTATAAACAACCAAGAGAGAGTTGAGGTGGGCACAGAGGGGTGATAGGGAGAAATACAATGGTAGCTGAAGGGTAATTCCTTTTTGAGGGAATAAAACATTCTAAGATTGTGCTGTTGGCTACCCAACTCTGTGCATATATTTAAAATCACTTAGTTGTACACTTTAAATGCATGAATTGCATGGGAAGGAAATTACATCTCAATCAAGCTGTTACAAAAAACAATGATACTTTTTCCATACTTTTCCCCTAGCCTGAACGACTATATATTTCTCAACCATGTTCATATCACCAAAAACCTGTCCTTCAAAGCAGACATTACCAAAGTTATGTTATTTTTATGTATAATTACCTGCTTAATATCTATCTCCCACATTATGATTTAAATTCTAACAGAGCAGGAATTATGTCTGTTGAGATTCATCCTTATAATTCTGCTTCTGTTTTATTTCCTGCACTAAATATATGTCATTAACTAGTTATAGGATTGAAGTTCACTAGGTTCTAGGCACTGTTTATAAAGGATTACATAAGGATTAAACAAATTATTAGAAAAGTACTGAGATTAGCACCTGTCTCTTAACATTAAACATTCAATGTTAGCCTCAATTATACTGAATAGATTTCAAAATAAATAATGAATAAATGGAATATAAGACCATTTGGCCTTTAGTACCTTCCTTAGAGTCATCTGTAGTTTTATTCAGCAAGCTATGTATCAGAGTAACTATGAGAACATTATTCTTCAGAATCTGTAACAGTCCAGCCATTTCGATTTGAGCACAGAAGTACAGAATTAAAATAAAAATTAGAGAAAAGAAAAACTGCTTTGCTGCTAAATATAAGGTCAAAAAGGAAAAAAAGAAATAACGACAAATAGAAATTTTTCCCCCCCTAGGGAGGGAGAGAGAGAGAGGAGAGGGCAAAGGCAGAGGCAGACAAGGAGAGACAATCTTAAGCAGGCTCCACAGCCAGTGCAGAGCCAGACTTCAGGCTCAATCTCATGACCATGAGAGGACCTGAGCCAAAATTAAGATGCAGGAGCTTAACTGACTGAGCCACCAGGCACCCCACAAATAGAAATTTTTAAAATAGACCCAGTATCTTAGAAGTACAGTTTATATAAAAATCTATACAGAAGAATTTCAAAGGTAATTGTGTAGAATACACTCAAGAATCAGATAAAATTTTTTAAAAAATCAGATAAAATTTAAGTCAACAAAAAAGAAAAAATGAAATCCTTACTTGAAAGGGGAATTGACGATATTTCAAATATTCTGCAAGAATATCTAACATCCGCACCATTTGAGAAAAAATAAGAACTCTATTGCCTCGTTCTCTTAGACGAATTAACAGTTTGTCAAGAAGAATCAATTTTCCGCTACTACGGATTAAGTGCTAGGAAACAATAAATTACAAATGTTACAGCATGTGAAAAAAAAATCAATCCAATTAAATAAACACTCCACTTAATACTTCATCTTCTTTAATTATTTAAAATCAAAATGTTATGTTTTTATAATGGTGGAATATAGTTTATTTCAGTTTTCAAACTTTTCTAGGACCTTTCTAGGATCACTCTGATCTATGCCAGCTAGGATTTTCCTTGTAATTTAGCACCTAGGTTTTTGTCATGTTTTGGAGGTAAGGGGATGGGGGGAGTAGTTTCACTTCACTGGCTAGTCATTACAACTACTTCCCTAAAAAATCTTTGAAAAACAATATACTGAAAGAAGCAGCTACTAAGCAACTAAAGGTTTTAAAACAATAACAAAACATATTTGAATTTATACATATCAGTCATTGAACCTAGGACTTTAAAGCACTACTGGAGTAGGATGGTAGTTGTGCCTTCTGCATACTTCTCATCCGTCTTCCAGAATTGACAGGAATGGTAAAACCTGAGGTTAAGATGTCTTTCTCAAGACTACCATTTGCCATATCACAAATTCAGCACATTCACTGATGTGAATTTCTGTCAATTAAGAATATATTAAGGGATTTCTGCTGGATAGACCTTGTTAGTCCATACAAATCCATTTTTAGAAAATGATCAAAATAATAAATTGAATAAATTATCATTTTAAAGGCTTTTTTTATAAAGACTAAAAAAAATTATTTAATTATACCATAACCAAAGAGAAATTTTAACTAACACATTAAAGTCTTGTGCCATTTTCAGTTATAACTGCAATAAGCATTTCTAGAATTTTGTTTTACCATAGAGTAACAATATTTTAAAATCCTTACTTGTAAGGCCTCCTGTTTATTATAGAATTCATTATTATCTGGTGGTTTAATGAGGTAGCAATGGTTACAACATTTCTTTAGCTCCATCATAATGTTCAAAAAGCCTGAGGTACTGCCCTTGGAACCTTTGCTGAGGGCTTTGTAATTCCTAGTTAATATCCATCTGTTTAAAGGGAAAAAATAACACAAAAATGAGGTTCAGCACAATACTTACCAGGATGAATTCTAAAATCATGAAAAAACAATCAAGCACCAAAGCAAAACTGCACCATTACAAAGTTCACAAAACTGGATATACAATGGACCAAACCCCATTCACAAGACTAACGAACTTCATTCATAAAATTAATGAGAAAACAACACATAACTTGTTATCTGAGCAATATACAGTAAAGGCTTAATGTAACATAGTGAGTATACCGTATTAATCCTTTTTCCCCTGAAGTTACTTCAAAAATGGATCAACTATGATCTATATTAACCTTCCTACAAATTTTATTACACTAGGCAACCAAAACATAGATATGTAAGAAACCTCATGAGCATACCTGGTTTACCCACACTGCCTTCTCTAAATTGCAATTAAACAATATATATGCAACTTGTAGAAAAATTATGGGTGGTTATTTTTATCAGTCCAAACTATTTATGTAACTATATAACATTTCCTCTCACCACAATGTACTTTGTCTTCTACCATCTTTTATTTTCTTCCTTTCTATAAGGTTAGTCTGGGAAAGGACCTGAAACAATTTTATCACTGATATGCCTCAGAATGATATGGGGGGGCAGGGAGTGGGAATAGCTAGAGATAAAATAAGACTGGCTGTGAGTTGAAAACAAACCCGAGGGTTGGAATTTTTTTTTTTTTAATAATGTTTGAAATTTTTGTCTATGTTTAAAATTTTCCACAACACAAACAAAATTCATGCAAAAAATGTATTCCTTTTCATGTATGGTACTTACAGCTTTTACCATGAAATAAGTTTTTCAGAATCCAAATGCATGTATACAACAGTGCATTTTATGCAATTAAATGTTTAAATAGCTTTTAGGACAAATATTACCTTTTGATTCTTTGAAGCAGAATTAGTATTATATAGATCTTACATACAAATTTATCTTAAGTATGATTAATATTCCTCAACAGGGGGCCTAAAATTTTAAGTTTCTTGTTCTGGCTTCTACCTTTGTCAATTATGTAATCATCATAAGTACAAAATAATGCCTTAGTATCACTAACAGTTAAGTATTATTAACACTTAACAGAACCCTCTATATGGTAACAGAGCACAAAATAGAGAAACACAATTAATCATGATTAGTATTAGGTTACCCATGGTCTTGAACATGCCATTTAATCTCTTCGCTTCAAGAGCCTATAGAATAAACCTATTCTAAAATTCAACAATTGTTACTACTCTAAGAACATACTGCAGGGTGGAGGGACACCTCAATGAGACAAGGTTACAGGGGGTTATTTAGAATTAAATGTCCAACATGTGGTCTGTTTACGGCTTACTTGTAATACTGTTTCTGTAAAGCACTCATTTCCATTCTTAAAATCTGCTCAACCTTGGCAGGAAGAGATTTTTCCACATCTTTTTTAACTCTGCGTAACAGAAATGGCTCAAGCTCCTTGTGGAGGCTTGCATAACCATATTCTCTGCCTTTTCCATGTTCTTCTTCAAAATCTTCCCAGGAAGAAAACCTTAAAAATGTAAGAAATGGAAGAACTAATGAAAAAAAGTCATTGAATATGAGATTTTTGAGAGTAGTCATATATAAACAAAATACAGACTTTCAAGAAAAGAGATTTGCTAATATTAGTCACTTCCAAGAACCATCCTTTCCAAGAAATCTGTCATGTATCCAAAGGTGAAACAAAGTTGTTTTACATAATTATGATTCTCTTTGAGTTAAAGATGTTAAATAAAATTAAAGTATTTTCAAATACAGGATTTTCACTACAATATTTCTCAAAGAATTTTAAAATTCTGAAAAAAGAATTTGTCATCTTGAACAAGTTATCTGACCTTTATCTACTCTAGTTTTCCTCATTTAGAAAAAGGGATTGCCAGTACATTATTATTGTTATTACTGCTCCTATTAAATACTAAGAAGGATACTGTTTCAGTTTTCCAAATGAATTTTATTTTGAACAAGGGCAAAATGAACTGTTACAATTTATTACACATGACTTAAACTTGTTTATTAAAAAACTGAAAAAATATTAGAAATATGAACTGTTGCATGTCACTTCCTTTTTTAATTTTCCTTCCTAAAAATCTGTGGTCCAATGTTCCAGGGCAATAAAACTTCTTATGGACCTTATTACCTACATTAATTATTTTACTGTGAAGCGTAACATATAAAACTAATATTAAAACTATATATCCCAACTTATCTTACTTTTCTGGCATAATGAAATGTAGCAAAGACCAGAGCTCTTTGAGGGAGTTTTGTAGAGGAGTTCCAGTAATAAGGAGACGATGATTGGACTTAAAGTCTATTAAAGTTTTATACAGAAGAGAGTCATCATTCTTTAATCGATGTGCTTCATCTACACCTATAAACGCCCAATTTAGACCTCCAAGGAATGCCTTAAAATGAACAGAACACAGTTAACATTTTAAGAGAAAAATTAAATTCAAATTACTAAACTGAAGCAAACTGAAATTAAAAGCAAACTTTTTTCAAATAAAAATTATATATTTCAAGATTTATTGAAATCCTCAAATAAAGTAACTCAACATGCAAAACAAAGTTCCTTTGATGACGAATTCACTCATTGGAAAACAGAGAAAGGCAAATGCAAGTTTTTACTAGCTTACACATCCAAAAAGGAAAAAGAAACATAATAGTACCATTAAAATAGTATCATTTAAAATTTTTCACAAAGAGTTTTAGCTTTAGGCCAGCAGAAGTCCCTATTAATGTCAATTTAGAGAAAGAAAATAGGATATAAATTTGGACATGTCTTATTCCAATTGTAGAAATAATTTACTGTATGATTTTTATGAGCTGTGGATCTCCAATATATAAATGTGGGTCTCTGACTTAAAACAGAGGCAGGCCTCATTCTGCTCTTTAATGGCTGCATAAACTAGGAGACAAGTTCATTAACCTCTTTTGAGACGGAATTTTTTCAATAAAATAGAAAGAGCAGTATCTTATAAAATAGATGGGAATTACTTGAGATATGAACTATAAAGAACTAAATAAACAACATCTATAAAGCATTTAGAATAGTGCTTCACCCAGAGGTAGCTTAATTCTTTCAGGTATTTTCCTTCTCTTTAAAGATCTTACAAATCAACACACTATACCAAACTAGTTTTATATAAGTCAATAGTTGGTAAACTTTTCTTGTAAAGACCCAGATGGTAAATATTTAAGCTTCTTGCAGACAAATGTGTATTGGTCTCTGTCACATATTCTTTGTTTTTACACCATCTAAAAATGTAAAAACCATTCTTCGTTCAAAAGTTACGAAATATAAGCCAGATTTGACCCAGAGGATGTGGTCTTCTGACCCATAATTTATCTTCTCATCCTATCCACAATATATGGTAAAGCAAAAATTAATATACTCCAAACAGAAAAGCATAAGTAATACACACCTTATCCTTCAATAAAATTTCGTAAGTTGTTAAAAGTATATTAAATTTTAACCGTTTGGTCTGGGGATGCATCCATTCATGAGTTCTTATCTATCAAGAAATTTTGAAGATAATTTTAAGACAAACATTAAGAAAAGTACACTTTATTTGAATACCTAAAAAAAAAATCCCTCCAAAATACAGAAAAAACTATGTTTGTTTACGTAATAAAATCATTTTAATTCTTAACACAGTCCAACACGCTACAATCATCTTACTTATAAATAAAAATATAAACAGCACAGCATTTCAAAGCCTATAAAAGTAAAGCAGACACGTTTTTAATACAAACTTCCCACTGAAGGAAGTTCTCATTTAATAAAACATAAGTGATTAATTCATTTTATAACATAGCATTTATGGATGAGATATAATATCCAGGTCTGCTTCACAATATTTAGAAGGAAAGTACTCTGTAGAGGTACAGATCAAACAAAACCGGCAAAGCATTAAAACTGTGAAGCTGGAGATGGACACGCAGATTTATTATACTCTTCTGCCTGCTTTCATGTATATTTGAAACTTTCTATAAGAAATTAGAAAAAAATATATATTACATAAAGTAACACTCAGCTAAAAATTGTCTTTTGTTACAGCCAATTGTACTAAATACTTTGTGGCAAGTTTTACACTAGAAATTAGGACTATAAAGATAAGTATGTCTAGATTTCTAAATTTGTGAAGAAACAACTTACCATATTTCTGCTGTTAATGTCACCTAAATAAACCACAGCATTCATTTGAGAAGCCCATGTCTGAATTTCCCTTTGCCAAGAAGTAAGAGTGGAAAGTGGTACCACTAACAGAAAAGGTCCATATAATTGATGTTCATGAAACAAATAGTTCAGAAATGAGATCGTCTGTATTGTTTTTCCAAGGCCCATTTCATCAGCAAGGATGCAACTATTTCCTCTACAAAATTAAGAACAAAAATTATGTATATAATAGATTCAAATTTATAAAGAAACTTTTTCACATAACCCATGTACAAATTTAAACAGTTAAAATTAATCTGAAAGGTATACAAATATACCACTTTTATTAGCTATCAATAGTAAGTAAAGGCTTCTGCAATAGTATGAGAGAAGTACACAAAGTTTACCATTTTAGTCCAAAGGAAGCTTAAAGAATAACAATAATATGAAGTAGTGCAGCACTTAAACAAGTTAAACTCAAACTCCACTGGATTTTCTTCTTAGTATTATTAAGTATTACTTACATACTAAGGAAATTCAAAAGCCTGCATATAAATACCAAATGGTCTTTATCCTTGATATTGGTGTAAATCTTTTCCAAATCCTGTATTTGTAAAATTCGTATGCCCTCATATTAAACAGACAATTCAAAATATACTTACTTGCACCAAGAGTGAGCAAGCCAATTTAAACCATTCAGTTGATAATCTCTTAATTCTAAACTCTCATGTCCTCCAATATAGGATGGTTGCTTTTTTAGGGCTACAAATCTTGGCCTTTGTTTTAATACCTTTAGTAGAAATAAATGAATAAGAAGAACTATCAAATGAGAGAATTTTTAAAGATCAAAATCTTAGCTTTTACCATAAATTCTCAAATTTTATCTAAAATTTCAGGCTCAGAAATTCCATGACTCAAAATCTCAAGATTCATTCAAATAAGACTGTATTCTCTTACTGTAACAACAATGTACAGTGAAATATTTTGCCCTTTTTGGACAAAAAAATGACAGAAATAAATAAGTTCCTACTGAAATACTTCAGTCTTACACAGTTCACAAGATAGAGCTATCTTAAATTCATTCATTTAACTGCTGGTGCAGCCCTGACCTAGAAATAAACCATATAACTGGCTTAACAGAAATCTCTGATTTCTAAATTACCATTATCAGTTTAATTCAATCTTATAGTAAGAAAACAAATTCTAGTAGTATACAGACCCTCAAAACTATGGTTAATAATGTCTCTAAGTATAAAGATCTTATATTAGGCAAGGTAGTCCTGGGTACTACTTCTTTTCTTATTGGTATGTCCCTTTTTTCTTTCCCACCTTCAGAGAAAATATTCACTACGTTTTAAAGCAAGGATATATATCTATTTTCTAGGGAATTTCCCTTATTTGGTCTCCCAAGACACTCCTCAGAACTACGGCCACCAATTTATCACCTTCCTGACCGTTTCACTCACCAAGACTAAAAGACAGCACCACATCTAAGACCACAGAGCAATCACCAGAACACTCTTTCCTTTAAGATCTATCAACCAAGCAGTTCCTTCTCTTAGCTTCTCTGAAATCAGGATCTAACTCTCCATTTGGGCTTGTAATATTTATGATGTGTAAATACTATTTTCAATTAGTTAAAAATTCCAAACAATACTCACTTTGCAATCTTTAAAAGGAGTGGTTTTTGATTGATTCCTGCTAAAATACTCATCTATGCATGCTTGAAACTTTTTGGAAATTAGAGCTCCATCCTCCCAGCTGCACTCTGAGTATGGAAGGCCCTGCCATTTACAGTAATAATCGGGATAACCAGCTGCTGACTTCTGATTGGAATGAGCTGTGAGATAAATCAATGAAAATATTTATTTATTTTCACAATGAATCTTATCCAAGGACTAATCTTTGGTAAAAACTACATAAGCAAAATCAGTCATCTGGTTTACATTACTCTATTACAGTAAGACTAAACTATTGTATTTGATGTGTAAGCAATAAATCTAAATTTTTTTCAGATCAAGCATGGAAAAATAAAAGTTCAGTGAGAATCATTTATTACTAACCAATTATTCGTTCCACAATTTGATACTGTTTGTGTAGATCATCTGTAAGTTCTTGCTGGCAATTATAATATTCCACATCTTCTGGAGAAGCATTTTTCAACCTGAAAGATTATTAATCCACAAATAGACTTCAAAATCTCCCCTAAATAACCATTCCCCCATACTATCTGTAGCACAAAATCTCCCATTTGCCACTTATCATGTGAGTCAGCTGAATAATGAAGAAACTGAAATAGAAATAAAGTGAAGCATCATTAATTTTTAATTTTAAAAATGTATAATTTATAATATATATGAGACACGATTATCTACATGATTATCATTAACAAGAAGTTCAGACAGGGCTATTCCCAAAAGTTTACCTTCAAATACAATTTAAATCTATAAATAGTTATTTTAGGTTATTGCATTTTTTTTTTAAAGATTTTATTTATTTATTTGACAGAGTGAGCACAAGCAGGAGGAGTGGGAGAGGGAAAAGCAGGCCTCCCTCTGAGCAAGGAGCCTGATGCAGGGCTGTATCCCAGGACCCTGAGATTATGTCCTGAGCTGAAGGCAGACTTAAGTGACTGAGCCACTCAGGCATCCTTTGGGTTATTGGACTCTTGACTATGTACTCCTTATTTAAAAAAACCTTAGTAATCATCTTTGAACTGTTAAAAAATTAAGTAAAATATAAAACATATTTACCATCTTTTTGTTTCCTGATCTTTTTTCTTATAGTTATCCAATTTTTTCATTCCTCTAACATTCTGCTGCTTAAGGGTTTCTTCTGTCTCCCAAGTATTGTGAATATGGGACCATCCTTTCCATTTAATCAAATATTGGATCTCGCCTGGTTCCTTGTTTTTTTCAAATCCTGCATTTGGGTCACCATCTGCTTCAACTGCATAGATGGTTGTAGTAGCACCAGTAGCTGAAAAAGAAAACACAATACATTCCATGTAATTCTGTTATAAGATCGTTTCCTTCAACTCAAAAATTCAAGAATATGAATAAAAATATATGTTTTTAAATAAGTAAAGAATCAGTGTAGAGAATGTAAGGATAATTGTATTACACATACATAAAAGAAACTCCAAATTTTAGAATGGAAAGATTATCTAATTTAATCCCCTCAGTTTTAAAATTAGAAAAAACAAGGTCAAAAAACAGTGGCACACCTAAAGTCATACAGCAATTTATAATAACCAATGACTGGCTGCCTGATAACTGGAAATAAAATATGAAAAATCATCTTTAAAAACTCCAAAATCATTATGTTGGAGATATCTGTACCCTCATGTTCAATGCAGCATTATTTACAACAGCCAAGACATGGAAACAACCTAAGTATCCCCTCAACAGATAAAGAAAATGTGGTACACATATATAATGGAATACTATTTAGCCACAAAAAGAAGGAAATTCTGCCATTTGCAACAATGTGGATGAATTTGAGGATATTACACTAAATGAAATAAGTGAGAGTAAGACAAATACCATATGATCTCACTTACATATGGAATCTAAAACAAACAAAAACCTCATAGGAAAAGAGATCATCAGATCTGTAGTTACCTGGGGCAGCCAGTAGATGCGTGTGGGGGTTAGTAATGTAGATGTATACAAACTTCCAGTTTTAAGATAAGTAAGTACTGGGGATGTAATGTACAACATAATGACCACAGTTAACACTGTTCTACAGTTTATTTGAAACCTACTCTAAGGGTAGGTTTTAAAAGTTATCACAAAGAAAAAAAAATTTTCTCTCTTTCTTCCTCTTATTCTATCTATACGAGATGATGGATAAATATAAACTAAACTATTTGTGGTAACAATTTTGCAATGTATGCAAGTCATGCTGTCAATCTTAAATTTATACATTGTATGTCGTATCTCGATAAAACAAAAAAAAAAGCATGTCAAGATAACTAAAAATAACCTACAGATTAGAGATGAAAGAAAAAACATTTAAAAATAACCAAACTATTTGTGAAACTGAAAGTACCTAAATAACAACCATTATTTAGGTATGACAACAAAGAAAACTGAAATACATAGTTTATAAGAATTTTTCTAATTATTTGCAATGAACAAAGTCAGGTTAAGTGGATTATGTGGGAAGAAAATATTCAGGCTAAGCAAAGTGTATTTTTCCACCCTCTTTGCTTTCAAAACTGAAATAACTTCAAGAAATACTTTATTTACTTTAGTAAATATTACTGAAACAACCAAACAATAAATGTTTTTTAAGAAAATACCTCCTTTTCTCCCAATCCGACAATCCATAAAACGTTCTATTGTTTCAAATTCTTCTTCCTCAGGTTGAGGAACATCCTCTCCACACACCTCCAGTAGATCATCAGAATCTGTTTTCATTTCTTCATCTTCTTTATAGCTAACATTGACAGTTGCCTGGCGACGAGAACTTCTTTTATCATTATCATAATCTTCTTCATCATCTTCCTCCTCAGATGAATCAATCTGTCTCTTTTTTTGTCCAAGAATTTTCTTCCCATTTTTTGCCTTAGATCTAAGTAGGGAAGACCAGGGGATAGAGGTGTTTTACAGAAACACTAGCATATAAAACAAGATGCAAGACACTATATACAGAAAGAGTACCTTCTGTAACCAACAATTTTCAGGATCAAATTGAAAACATACTATACTTACCTATTTTGAGGTTTTCTGCTTTTAACTTTGCTTTTTGGCTCATAATCAGATTCTGTTTCATCACAACTGCTTTTATCTCTTTCTTCTTCAGATTCTGAATCTGAACCAGATTGAGATGGAGATCCTGACCCAGACATTTGCCAATCTTCACTGTATATAGAATATATAAAGTATGTTTGTTTATCCTTACATCGTATAGCAAATTTTATCTCTGATAAAAGTACAAAAAAAAAATCAAACTGAACTACATTTCAGTTACTATTAAAAAAACTGTTGCTTTTACCCACACCAACATATTAACATGTGAGTAGAGTAAAAAAAATGCTGGAAATTATTCTTCACAGATTTCTCCCATAACTGTAGAGCTTTGTTAATCATTTAGTTACACTTAAATGAATGGCAAATAAGGAAATGTTATTCTGATTATCTCTGTGGATGAAAACATAGTATGCTATTTAAAGAATCACGGGGTTTAATTTTGAAAATCTTGTATAATTATATTTGCCCTCTCTAAAAAAAAGATTCTAATCCCTTTCATTTTAATTTTCTGGAGACTGTTTTTTAAAAATATACACTCTGAAACTGATTTTTAAAGTAGTACATGTTCATTAAGAAGCCCAAAATACAGTATAGAAAAATGTATATAAAAAAAAAAATCAGTCCACTTTAACCAACAGTCAATGAGCAACTTACCTTTATTGCTATTTTTCGTCTACTCAGTCTATTTAATTCTAATACACATGTAGAGAAAAATTACTGGCTGCATATGTTAATATTCTACTATAATATAAACTTCAAATGGAAGATACGTATTAAATTCTTATATATACACCATATCCTTTTCTCACAGCTACTGCTTCTACTCCATTCCTCTGTATCTCTCATGTCAATTACAACTTTGTCAAGAGTTACAAAAGCAAGCGCATATGCTAAAATCTGGTTTATGATAAAAACATGAGAAGCAATTTTTTTTATCTTGAGCTCTTTTTAGAGCTTGCAAATTAGAAGTAGCAATACTTGGAATATATGAAAGTATCTCCAATTCACTATTTTTTAGAACACAAATTACAATGATTTTTATATTTAACCAAGCCTACCCATCATCCCAAATCACTAGATTTTTAAAAATTATTTGGCTGTACCTCTGCTAAGTTTACAAATTACTAACTCAGTGGAAGAGTTTAGAGAGCTGATGAGACACAGTAGCTGAAAATGTACTACATAAACTAAAAGATCTGAGGAAATTAGCCAGAATGTAGCTCAGAAATAAAGGGATAAAAAAACATGATACAGTAAGATTAATGAAGATGGATGATCCAGCAGATATATAAAATAGATATAATCCAATATGACTGATATATATTAATAACAGTACCAGAGAGATTTACAGGATAAGAAAATGTCCAAAAAACAGGAATCTTCACATTAAAGATATATGAGTGAATAAAGTAGAATAAATAAATAACAAATCCAGAGCCAGACACACCAAAGTGAAACTACAGAATATTCAAGACAAATAGAAAAATGAGACCTAAGACAATGGAATAATATTTTTGACAAAATGAAAGAGAAAAAAAATCAGACCATCTAAGTAACTGAACTTAGAATCTGAAGTACTCTTAAACACCTTCTGAGTCAGGATGTTTAGGAAATTACAGTGAGTTTCTAAATGAGTTCTACAGAGAAAGTAAATTTCACATGCAGATGAACAGTAAGATAGCTATTAACATAAATTAACAGAATTACCCAAATTTCCTCTGGTCCCTACACTTCTACATAGTTTTCCCAAGTTATTAAAATTTTCTGATTTTATGACCAAGTAGAACTCTGGAATTTAAAAATACAAAGGAGAGAGGGGTTATAGAAGATAAACAAGTGGCACAAAAACCTCAAGTTCCTCAGAGAAAAATGGATATTAAAAATTAATAGTTTAAATTAATCTAATTAGATGCCATGAGTCAAGAATTTACATAAGTCTACTTTTGACAATTTTTCATAAAGATAAGAAACACAATATCAAAAGGTCTTCCTGATACGACAATGATTGGCTAAACAAAATGACATACTCTTTATGTTTTTTCCTTTTGACCTCATTCGATGAGTCATCAGAATCTTCACTGCTGGAGGAATCCTACAAAGAAAAAACAAAGCTAATGTTATTAATGATTAGAATTTGACCGTGGTATCAAATTTTTGCTTGTCATACTATTTAGCATTCACTTTGCTAATAACGCTATATATATACGTATATATATATATATATATATAAAATGTATAATATATATACAATGCTATATATAATATATTATATATGATAACTATATATACATATAACTATATATATAACCATATTGTTATATTTGTACCATTAGCACATAAAGTAATAGCATCTTTATTACAAATTTATAACACAGCCATTGAAATTAGGTAAATAATCACAATGTCAGCATTTTATGTAACACCTTAAAATCTACCACCTCTAGAAACCATTATTCTTGCCTAGTATGGCCTCAAAAAGGAATTGTAATTGTTGGTATATTCAAATTTGGATTTAATATATTAATATTAAATAGGAAATATACATTTTATATTTATAAATATATGTGTGTTATATATGGTAAAAATACATAAACATACATTTAATAAAATATATTAAAATAAAAATATTTTTAAAATTTAATATTTTCCTGCCCCATTAGACAGTTTTTGATAGAGTTCTGAATGTTTCTGCACAAACACACATGCTGGTGTACTTACATGTGCACAGGAACTATACTGTTTGTATCTACAGCCTATTCTTTTAAAAAGATGTTGTGACTTATTCATATTCTATACAAATGATTTAACAGACACGTTTGTCTGTATATTTTCACAGTATTCACATTTAGTTTATTTCTAGTTTTGCTGTGATAAGCAAATGTACACACGTCTGTTTGGATTAATTCCTAAAAGTGGAATTACTGGATAATAACATATGTATATTTCAAGGCTCTTGATACACATACTTATTTCCTCATCCTTTCAGAACACTGTAATAACTTCATAAACACCTACACCTAGTTAAATGATTGGGCATAATATCTACTTTTAAAATAATGGTTTCCTTTTATTTACTTACTTGACAGAGACACGGTGAGAGCGGAAAACAAACAGGAAGAGTGGGAGAAGGAGAACCAGGGCTCCTGCTGAGCAGGGAGCCTGATGCAGGGCTCGATCCCATGGCCCTAGGATCATGCCCTGAGCCACCCAGGCATCCCTAAAATAATAGCTTTCATGATGAAAACTCACCTCCTCTGATCCACTATTAGATGAAGCCTGATGCTGCTGCTGCTGCTGCTGCTGCTGCTGCTTCTTGAGCATTGCAGATCTCTGAACGGCCAGAATACTAGGGCTAGATTTCCAAAACTGTAACAGAAATATAACCAGTGAAGGATGAAATTTTGAAAAAAACAAAAAAAGGTTAATTTATTGAACAGTAGTACCAGCATTATCACTGCCTCCAAATAATAAGTTAAGACTCTTTTCTGTACTCACATTATGTGTAATACAATATTATGGCAATTAAAATAAAATTCTGAGCTTTAGTTGCATATAAAAAATTTATGGTGTGCTGAGTTCATAAACAAATATTAATCAATATATTCTTTGGTGCTCCATATTATTTTCAAAAAACAAAGTGACAATCTATGACACTTTTGCTACTGGAAAAGTGGCTGCCTGGTTTTTTAATTAATGTGAGGTGAAGATGAAGAGCTTGAGTCAGAATGCAAATCAACTATGTCACTAAGTATATAGTTTCAGTTCAACTGACTTTTATTTTCGTTTATTTATTAGACAGTAAGATTTTCTCCATGGAAGAAGATATGTGTTGATGTACATTCTGGCCCAAAAATCTTATCATGACTGGTACTCTAAGTAACACTACTGTATTCTATTATGAGGAGTAGATAGGTTTTAGTAAATCTTGTATTAGCCTTTTTCAAACAGAATGACCCTTAGCCTACTCTACCAAGTAGAAGCAAGTTCTCTTAGATTCCCTTATCAGCAATAAAGTATCTCCTTTGAAGATCTTGAAAATACAGATCAGACACTCTAAGATTAACAGAAAGATCTCACAAAACCTTTAATTTTAATCCATGAGACAATGAATATTTATGAAACTCAGTTTCTGCCTTAGAAAGTGTTTATTTTGTACTTGCTTGACCACTTCTCTTCCAGCCAATCAAGTCCACAGATACTTTACGTTTGAGAAAGTAAATTTTAATGTTTAAAATTAATGTTTTCTAAAAGCTAGACTAGAATGTTATAAATTTTCCCAAAGTAGTAGAAGAAATCAATCTTTCAGGATACTTTATTACCTCAGCTCCATCAACTTTCGGTGGTTTTGCTTGGACTTTGTTTTCTCGGGAAGTGTCTGATTCAGACTCTGACTGACTGCCTGATTCAGATCCGGACTCAGAGTCACTGCTACCTGACTGGCTACTGCTTCCATCACTACTGCTTCCAGAACTTGAACCCGATGCTGAGCCCGAAGCTGACCCAGAATCATCATCCGACTGGCTACAATTTGAAAATAAACAGATTTCAAACAAAATTTATTAGGAATTTAATTTTCCTTGAAAGTCAGCAGAAAGCCTCAAATCTTTAAGCCTCATTTATTTCATATTTCAACATTCCATAGACAGAAAAAAGAATATTAATCTATAATAAATGACTTACTTTGTAGATTTAGTACAGTTTTGACAAAAACATAAGCCATCAGATCACAATCTTCCTCCAAGATAATAAGTAAAATCTATCAAACACAGAATCCTAAGCTAGAAACTTGGGAAAACAAGAAATTGAAGCCATATAGTCCCTATCCTTAAAAGGCAATTTAACCATAGGAACTCTAACGAAGAAATTGTGTGAAGAAAACAATTAATGTACTGAAAATTTTCACAGTCGTAAGTAGAAAAAAAACTAGTTTCTACTTGTTTTTAAATTATACCTGTACTCTACCATTCTGGGGGAAAATAATTTATTAAAATTAAGCTATGAAAAAGGGTGTCTGGGTGGCTCAGTCGGTTAAGCATCTGCCTTTAGCTTGGGTCATAATCCCGAGGTCCTAGGGATCGAGTCAACACATTGGGCCCCCTGCTCAGAGGGGAATCTGCTTCTCCCTCTCCCTCTGCTCCTCCCCCAACTCACGCTAACGCGCTCTCTCTCTCCAATAAATAAAATCTTTCAAAAAAAATTTTAAAAATTAAAAAATGAAATTAAGCTATGATAGAATATAATTTACTGAAAGAAAAAAATCAGTAATTGCTTCTCTGAGAATATCACTGAATCTCTCATGGTTCCACAGTAATAAATCTGAAATAGTAAATTCTCACAATCTTTCCTAACTGCTGTATATCACATGTGAAAGCAATTAACAGTTCATTGAGAAACCACTTTTTTTCCCATTACTAATTTTCAGTCCAAAGTAGTCTAGAAATGGTCAGGACTATACAGGTGACTGTGTAAATTACTATTATTCCCAAGGCCATTTGTTCACATAGTGTTTACATCTGAATTTTTGAAAACTAGGGCATTAAATTCTTTATATACACGTTTGATTCACCTTTTAATGTACTTTTACCTAGCTTTTTTTTTTTTTTTTAAGATTGTATTTATTTATTTGACAGAGAGAGACACAGCAAGAAAGGAAACACAAGTAGAGGGAGTGGGAGAAGGAGAGGCAGGCTTCCCACTGAGCAGGGAGCCCGATGCCGGGGCTCGATTGCAGGACCCTGGAATCATGACCTGTGCTGAAGGCAGACGCTTAACGAATGAGCCACTCAGGCGCCCCTAATTTCACCTAGCGTTATGACAAACAACAGATAATGTAGTTTATGTATACACAGCTCAACTCAAGCTTCATCATCCTCTGCTGTAATTTTCAGAAATACCACCAGATGGAGGTATTATTCTAAAGAAATAGACGGCAATATTAAAAGTAATTCCTTTATAAAAATTTCTCCTTTTCTAGAGCAAGGAGTTTAGTTTTCACATGGAAACACAGATATAAAAGTTTGAAAGAAGACTTCTGATTCCAAAAGTTAGATATAAATTAAATGCTTAAAATGCAAACATTTGCATATCTGAAAGTCTAAGAATTGAGTAGAATAAAATTTTCACAGAAACAGAAAAAATTTGCCTTTTAAAGTCTATGATATCAAGACCACTTTTTTAAAAAAAGATTTATTCATTTATTTTAAAGAGAGAGAGAAAGAGAGCATGGATGCAAGTAAGAAGAGGAGCAGAGGAAAAAGAATCTTTAAGCAGACTCCCCACTGAGTGCAGAGCCCAACAGGGGGGCTCAATCTCTTGCTCCTGAGATCATGACCTGAGCCAAAATCAAGAGTCAGAAGCATAACCAAATGAGCCACACAGGCACCCCACAATCACTTTTGCCAAAATTTTTAACCATTGGTCACATGGTCCAGAGATCCAAAATCAGCACAGTGCCTTGGGACAAACCAACCCCACTTACCATATTTTACTTGTGTCCCTTCTGAGAAATTTCAGCACGAATATTAAGATACTTTTCCTGACATATAATTTTATTTTTCCTTCAACCCACTTTCATTTACTCAGTAAACTTCACAGAGACAATATCATGTATTAGGCACTGGCAAGACCAAGAGCATACAAAATCCTTACCATTAAAAAACCTCTAACTTCAAAAACAAAACAAAAAACCTCTAACTTCATATGGAGAGAAAGTCATGTTAACCAATAAGTGTCGTTCTGTGCTATTTTAAGGTAAGTGATCTAGGTGTATAGGGAGCACTACATATACAACCAAGTCTAACATATTAATTAGGAAACACTGAGAAAAAAAGTGTGATTGATAGAAAAGGAGAATTGCTTATAAGCTTCTTGAAGACACCATTTTATTTTTTTCCAGAGTACTTAACCACAGAACTTTACACAGGTAAAGGTGCCCAATAGATACTCAAAAAATAGGTGGACAGGAATGACTGAATTTGGGGGGCTATCATGGGCGATATTCTTGATTATGTCTTGATTAGTCATTCCAGATGAGTGGCTAGTCAACATTCTTTGTTAATAAATCAAAATTCTAGGGGTGCCTGGGTGGCTCAGTGGGTTAAAGCCTCTGCCTTCGGCTCAGGTCATGATTTCAGGGTCCTGGGATCGAGCCCCGCATCAGGCTCTCTGCTCAGCAGGGAGCCTGCTTCCCTTCCCCTCTCTCTGCCTGCTTCTCTGCCTACTTGTGATCTCTGTCTGTCAAATAAATAAATAAAATCTTTAAAAAATAAAAATAAATCAAAATTCTAAGTGAAAGGAGGAATCTTTCCCTTCATATTCTTTAGGTTATAGTAGTTCTGGCTGGAGATAAAAACAAACAGCCTGAATCCAGGTTACTCTAATGGCACAAACCTATTACAGAATGTATTTTACCTTACATTTTAGAAATATAAAGTACTTATTTTATCTAGTTGTTCTTAGTAGGATTAAGAGTATACAAAGATTACGGGGCACCTGGGTGGCTCAGTGGGTTAAAGCCTCTGCCTTCAGCTCAGGTCATGATCTCAGGGTCCTGGGATCGAGCCCCGCATCAGGCTCTCTGCACAGCAGGGAGCCTGCTTCCTCCTCTCTCTCTGCCTGCCTCTCTGCCTACTTGTGATCTCTCTTTCTGTGTCGAATGAATAAATAAAATCTTTAAAAAAAAAAAAAAAGAGTATACAAAGATTAAGTAAGAAATATTTTATACTGCCACAGAACAATCTCCAGAATATAGTTAAGTAAAACACAAACAAAAAAAACCAAGATATAAAACAATGTTTATAGTATGCTTCCTTTGTATGAGGGAAAAATACATATTATTTGCTCATATTTTTAAAATAGCAATAATGGCAGTATATGCCAACAATTAAAGTTAAAAATGGTTATCTACAGGGGTGACTGGGTGGCTCAGTTGGCTGAGCAACTGCCTTCGGCTCAGATCATGATCCTGGGGTCCTGGGTTTGAGCCCCGCATCAGGCTCCCTGCTTGGTGGGAAGCCTGCTCCTCTCTCTCCCTCTGCTGCTCCCCATTTGCGCTCTCCCTCAACCAAAAAATAAAATCTTAAAAAAAAAAAAAATGGTTATCTACAGAGGGAGGGACAGAGGAAGAATAGCAGGACAAGGTTTGAAATGGGAGTCCTCAGATTAAAAACATGTCAATGTTTTACATAACTTTTTAAAAAAGAAAATCCTAAAAATTTTAGGAAAAACAGACACAGGTTCAGGAAAAAAAAAATCTATATTCGGACAAAAAATTTTGAGCTGAAATTGTTGAAAAACTCCTCCCTATTAAAGTAATTGTTTCAGCCCACTCCTGTAAATGCTCTTTCCAGAATAAAAATCTGGGCGTGGCCAGTGTTTCTATAACAAAATGCAAACACCTATGAGGGCTTTCAGGAATTTGTCTTTGCCAACCTATTTCCAGCCAGTTTCCCGCTTAAATCCTTAGTTCTAGCAATGGCAAACTACTGGTAATTCTGAGAGCCAGTTTCTCTTCCACTTCCTGCTTTTGCTCAAGTACTTCTTTTTTTTCCTCATTATAGAATTCCTACTTGAGCCTCATCTCAGAGGATTTCTCCAACATTTTTCCTGACTCCATTATTCTCAATTCAACCTTAAATTAGGTATCCTTCCTCAACACTTCCAAAACGTTATGTACATACCACAATCTTGGCTGTGCGTCCATTTTGTAATGAACGCTGTAGTACTGTTTTCTTTGGTATTTTTGGTATCCTATCTTTCATATTCTACTATATGTTTCAAGAGTGTTGGGATTTTTACTTGTTGTCCTTTGTATACTGAACACCAAATGAAGAGCTCAGTATCTTTGATGGGTGGTTGGATGTACATATATACAAACAGATCAAAGATAATATATGGGTTCAAATGCTTGTATAATTCACAAATATAATTGGTCTACAAGAAATATTGCTAAGCTCCAACTAATGTTTTATTTATTTAAGTAACAACCAATATCAATAATCTATACAACATAAGTCACATAAGAGTTTACTTAAGCGTTATCCTTATTATATTAAATCCCGCTACCACATTACAATTAAGTGGTGGATTAAAAGAAACACTGTATTCCTCACCTTTCTCAATTTACAAAACAAAACCCACCATAAATTTATGGGCACTCTGATAAAATTGTTTTCTGAGGGTAAATTAAATAGGAATACAACATTTAAATAATAAAACAGCAATTCAAATTAAAGTCTCTTTGCAGGCTTGTTTTTATATTCAACTTCAAATACAAACAAGAGAGCAATGTAATGAACTACCATATATCTAAACACCAGCTTCACAATTATCAATATTCCAATCTTGATTCAAATAATCCAGCTTCCAAAACACATACAATCTCAGGCATTTTAAAATTTTATCCATAAATATTTAGGTAATACAAATAAAAAGTTTAACACTATTTTTAAATATCCACAATACCAGTACCATATCTTTAAAATACCACTTACTTCTGAATTTCAATATAAAATTAAACATTA